ACAAGCGAATAGAATGGAACGGGATGGAACATCCCATCATTATCCAATGATCTACGTCTCTTTAGCGACTTGCATGCCACACCTCTTTGCTCGTAACGATCCAAAAAGACGGTGCATCGTTAGAAATAAATCATTTACCCTTCGTTACCGATTGCCAGACCGTCGAATTTCATTTTTCTATAATAATCTTTCGTCGAAAGACGTTTCTCTTCTTCTTCTCGCCGGACCAAGATAGTTGGAGATTAGAGTTGTTGCAATTTAACCGCAATATCCAATATCCGGTGTTCGCGTTTCATCGCACGGTTTAACGTTATCGCTGCGCCACTTATCTCCAGGGAATTTCAACGCATCCTTGTCGGCTACGAACGATCCGAAGACGAATCCTACGAGACCCGCCCTCTCATACGTTGCGCGGTGTTAACGTATCAGTATGTTTGCCGTCTAAACCATGGTGTACCGCAAGATCGTGCCGGCTATCCATCAACCTCTATATCCGGTGTATAGAGGATGGTCATCTGTGTATCTCGCTAAACAAGATTAACCCCGCTATAGATCATCGAGCGGATGATCGAGTGGCCTTTTCCGTCACAAAAGAAACAATTAGCCCTGGCACAATGGTACAAGGTACAATTATTCCAAAATCAAAAAGAAATATGTTTGATTTTGAATAATCCTTTGTAACTCGTCTGATCTTATCGCGATCTTAAGGGATCGCGTAATTGTGCGAGGGTGAATTAAACACCGTTTTCACTGTAATTTAATGAAAATGCTCTGGAGGCAGTTAGCACGTTTCGTCAGAGAACATTGTGTCAACAGCAATTTAAAGGAATTGAAGGGAGCCCCGTCGTCAGCGTAAGGTAAAACGACTTTGTCGCAAAATTTCTGGCCATTCCGAAACTTCCCCGGCGTGGAAGTTTCGTTATCTGTCCTGTATTCTTAACTCGCGATAACAAAGTTCCGTTGAACGGGTTTATCCTTTCGCGAGAGGGGTCCTTTAACTTTTTCATCGCGTTAACGTTGAACGGATAGAGGATCGATAAAAATAACTCGTGCCGCGGCAAACAAATAAGAAGCGAAGCGTGTATTTAATCTCGTACCGTGTTTGCGCGGAATTTCAGCGTCCGCATCATTTGCGCGAGTTTCCGTCGGAAACGAAATATTATTAATACCGCGTGTATACCGTAAACATAATAAATGATTACGGTGTATTTCGTTGGCCCGTTCGACGTCCGTATAAATTCAACCCCCGCGGTTCCTCTTTACCGGGCAAATCGACGAATTACATAAATTGAATTGTTATCGGCCATCGACAAACATCATCACGCCCATCGTTGCATCCTTTCCAACGTAATACCGCATTTATGATGGGCGTTAATCTCGCGAGATCGTTCGATCGGAAAAAGCTGCTTTCAATCGCTATTATTTCATCCCCTTCTCTTCCTCGTCCGCTCGTATAAGAACATAATGATCCATCCCCTTCGAGGTTACATTCAAACGCGATCTCTTCACGTAGATCGTAAAAAAAAAGAAGAGGGAAAAATCGAAGGTAAAATTCTTCTTGTAAAGTACAATACAACGTGGTTCCAATCCACGTCGGCCTTGTTGAATAAAAGATTGCTCATTACGTAACGAGATATTGATCATTTATTGGAAAATGCTTGATATCTGTGGAATATTCTGTGTATGGTATTCTTCAGGAATTCAACGTATATTGTTCATTAGCTGTTTTATTCGTAGATCAGTTCAGACGTCTTTGACGACGTCGAAAAGCAGGAATGTCAGGGAAATAGGTGGATGGAGCGGGTGGTCGGTTAAAAAGCGAACGTCACAAAACGCATCGTCGATCGGCAACATGTTGCAGAGTCACTGTACGCTCATAATTCATGATCCGAGACGAGTTTGACCGGCCAAAGTCATCCGTACGCCGAGAGAGGAACCGCTCGACCCCCTGCGGATAATTTATGAGGCGCAAAGCTGGTCGAAGGTTCAATTTTTAAGCGCACCGCGTGGCTCGCTTTTCGGGTGATCATATACGCTTTCAGCGAGCTCCGAGCGAGATAGATTTTTCAGCTGACGCGAAACATTCGACGGGAAACGAGAATGAAGATAGCGGCCTCGTCTTGCGGCCATGAATCATCGGACGACTTTCTGGAAATCAGTTTTCAGATAACAGTTAAACGGGTATGTACGCGTCGAGGGTGAAAAGTTATTAAGTGAAATAGAAAATAATTTGGAGATGTACAAAATATTGCACTTTGTCTGTTACAATTATTATGACACGCGACAAGTGTAGAACCACAGTGGTATCTTTCTAAAAAGCTTGTAAGAGACTCTGGAAATGAAATACATATTAGGATAAAATGTTGTAAACAGAATTGTTTGAGAGATATTTCAAATCAAGTGCAACGATGCACTTATCCGATGCACATGCATTTTTTTGAAAACGAATTTTTGGAATTTTTTTACGTAGATCGATTCTATCGGACATTCTGTACAAAAAAGTATTAGGGTAAAATGTTCAAAACAGGATAGTTTGAGAGATATTTCAAATCAAGTGTCCCGATGCACAGCCGATGCACATGCACTTTTTTTATAAATCAATTTTTGCACTTTTCTTTGCACGGATCGATTGTAGTAGACATTCTCTATCAGAAAGTATTAGGGTAAAATGTTCAAAACAGGATAGTTTGAGAGATATTTCAAATCAAGTGTCGCGATGCACTTAGCCGATGCACATGCACTTTTTTTATAAATCGATTTTTGCACTTTTCATTGCGAGGATCGATTCTAGTAGACATTCTCTATCAGAAAGTATTAGGGTAAAATGTTGGGAACAAAATAGTTTAGGAGATATCTCAAATCAAGTGCAGCAATGCACTTATCCGATGCACATGCATTTTTTTGAAAACGAATTTTTGGAATTTTTTTACGTAGATCGATTCTTTCGGACATTCTGTACAAAAAAGTATTAGGATAAAATGTTCAAAACAGGATAGTTTGAGAGATATTTCAAATCAAGTGTCGCGATGCACAGCCGATGCACATGCACTTTTTTTATAAATCGATTTTTGCACTTTTCTTTGCGTGGATCGATTCTAGTAGACATTCTCTATCAGAAAGTATTAGGGTAAAATGTTGGGAACAAAATAGTTTAGGAGATATCTCAAATCAAGTACAGCAATGCACTTATCCGATGCACATGCATTTTTTTGAAAACGAATTTTTGGAATTTTTTTACGTAGATCGATTCTTTCGGACATTCTGTACAAAAAAGTATTAGGGTAAAATGTTCAAAACAGGATAGTTTGAGAGATATTTCAAATCAAGTGTCCCGATGCACAGCCGATGCACATGCACTTTTTTTATAAATCAATTTTTGCACTTTTCTTTGCACGGATCGATTGTAGTAGACATTCTCTATCAGAAAGTATTAGGGTAAAATGTTCAAAACAGGATAGTTTGAGAGATATTTCAAATCAAGTGTCGCGATGCACTTAGCCGATGCACATGCACTTTTTTTATAAATCGATTTTTGCACTTTTCATTGCGAGGATCGATTCTAGTAGACATTCTCTATCAGAAAGTATTAGGGTAAAATGTTGGGAACAAAATAGTTTAGGAGATATCTCAAATCAAGTGCAGCAATGCACTTATCCGATGCACATGCATTTTTTTGAAAACGAATTTTTGGAATTTTTTTACGTAGATCGATTCTTTCGGACATTCTGTACAAAAAAGTATTAGGATAAAATGTTCAAAACAGGATAGTTTGAGAGATATTTCAAATCAAGTGTCGCGATGCACAGCCGATGCACATGCACTTTTTTTATAAATCGATTTTTGCACTTTTCTTTGCGTGGATCGATTCTAGTAGACATTCTCTATCAGAAAGTATTAGGGTAAAATGTTGGGAACAAAATAGTTTAGGAGATATCTCAAATCAAGTACAGCAATGCACTTATCCGATGCACATGCATTTTTTTGAAAACGAATTTTTGGAATTTTTTTACGTAGATCGATTCTTTCGGACATTCTGTACAAAAAAGTATTAGGGTAAAATGTTCAAAACAGGATAGTTTGAGAGATATTTCAAATCAAGTGTCCCGATGCACAGCCGATGCACATGCACTTTTTTTATAAATCAATTTTTGCACTTTTCTTTGCACGGATCGATTGTAGTAGACATTCTCTATCAGAAAGTATTAGGGTAAAATGTTCAAAACAGGATAGTTTGAGAGATATTTCAAATCAAGTGTCGCGATGCACTTAGCCGATGCACATGCACTTTTTTTATAAATCGATTTTTGCACTTTTCATTGCGAGGATCGATTCTAGTAGACATTCTCTATCAGAAAGTATTAGGGTAAAATGTTGGGAACAAAATAGTTTAGGAGATATCTCAAATCAAGTGCAGCAATGCACTTATCCGATGCACATGCATTTTTTTGAAAACGAATTTTTGGAATTTTTTTACGTAGATCGATTCTTTCGGACATTCTGTATAAGAAAGTATTAAGGTAAAATCTTGAAAACAGAATAGTTTGAGAGATATTTCAAATCAAGTGTCGCGATGCACTTAGCCGATGCACATGCACTTTTTTTATAAATCGATTTTTGCACTTTTCTTTGCACGGATCGATTCTAGATGACATTCTCTATAAGAAAGTATTAGGGTAAAATGTTGAGAACAAAATAGTTTAGGAGATATCTCAAATCAAGTGCAGCAATGCACTTATCCGATGCACATGCATTATTTTGAAAACGAATTTTTGGAATTTTTTTTACGTAGATCGATTCTTTTAGACATTCTGTATAATAAAGTACATATATCACGCGACCCACTGGGATGGGAAGTTGGAAGGGGAACGATTTAATATATTGTGTCTTGCTGGCGCTCAAAATGGAAATTTATTCTCATTGTAACGTCGGCGCGTGGCGGGAAATATTGTTCATCGTTTCGTGGCATTATGTATCGTTAAAGGTGAACGTCTATTTTTCAGCGTCGACCGAATCAGTGCGCAGCGTGACAGAGACAAAGGAAGATGGATGGAAATGAAGTTCTTCTACTGAATTTACATCTCCAACGGATGACGTTGTATCGTGTGGTCATCAAGGCTAGTCACATACTTTCCCGCTCCATAAATATCAATAAAGACAATCTACTATTAATATATTGATTACCACAGGCGAAAAGGGCATTAAAATATCAATCTTCTTTTTTTTTTCAAATTTTTATTGAACGCGTATCGACGTACAAACAAATATTAGAAGCACGTGTAAATTCGCATAAATCAATCTCTCTTGAATAAGTATATCGCTAACAACGGCTTGTCCTCGTAAATTATTGTGAAACGGCTTAAAGGGAGAGGGTTCTTCGTAAAAGGCGAGATCAGTCGGGATAATATCGTTGTTAGGAGATCGAAAAGTGATTTATGGATCGGTTCCATGTTGTTCTACGAAAACATCGAGCAACGGTTTCCCAAGAGCTGCCCTAAATGGAAATCCTGCCTTCGAAATGTCTGTTGAAACCAGCCAGAAATCAATTCCAAAGAATTTAACAAGAAACCTTAAAAGATTGAATACAAATAAGAAAAAGAAGGACTTGGTCGTTTGTCGAAGGGAATTAAAGTGCATCTTTGAAAATACTTTAGAGGGACCATTATTTTTACTCGCGCATTACTTGCAGCTATCGCTAATAGCGTTTACCGACTACGAGTATTTTTCGATCCTACTACGATGAAAGCCTATAAAACGACGTCCTTATATCTTTATTACCCCTGTCTAAGAAACCCCTGCTACGCCATGGCTCACGTTCGGCAGCTCGGGTGGATATTTCGGCAATCTTCTCTTCTTTTTTTCTTTCTCTTTTTTTACCAGAATTCATGTATATTTATTTCAAAGAGTATAAATCCCTAGTGCCTCAACAAAATGCGTAAGTTTTTCAGCAACTATTTAGAAACCTCAAGAAAATATATAAGCGAATCGTTGTCACTAATGAAAATGAAACGAAATATTCTTTTCAGCAATGACTACTTTCCCCCTCAAGAAACATATAGGGACATATAGAATTTATATAGAAACTTGGGAAGTAGGGGAGCCAAGAAAGAGTCGTCTGCACGATCGAGTGGTTCGTTCATGGCCACACTAATAGCTTTATTTATAGCTATTACGATAGACTTATAACGTCTCGCATAGTTTGCCACCCTCTCTCGGTTAATTGTGTTCGAGGTGAAATGCCAGGATAATAGCGGTTCAAACGCGACCTGCAATTGTAATATCAGACACATCGTCCACTTTTTCTTCATTAAATTACCCCATTGCGCGTGGTTCGTAATAAAAGCTTCGAACTCAGGGCGAAATAAAGTAGATTCTAATCCGAGATCCATCAAACGAAGAATAGGAAATACAATAACGAGGGGGGATTGAAGGTTTTCTAATTTCCAACGAACGGCACGGTAGTCTTCTCCGGTGTACCATAACAAATGGTCCGGCACAGTCGGTAAAAAGTTCTCGTTAAAAGAATCGTAACGAGTTCCTGCAAAGAGGGGTGAGCCACCTTCCAGGTGAAACTCCATTTACACTAGAACCACCCGTTCGCAATTGCTGGCTCGCAGCGTGGCCGGTTGGTGTCGATAAAAAGCGTGCTTCCACGCCGGAAGGAAGATCGCTCCTGAATGCTTTCATCGGACAAAATCGTAGCCATTGTCGTGGACATTAACCCGATTTCAAAGGGCACCAGTAGCTGACTAGAGGGACAGGACGAAACTGGTCGATACCAACGTTGGTGATAAAAAGAATGGATTCTATGGATCCGAATATAGGTTGATTCTTTCAAAAATGTTCCCTTTAGAATCTCCCTTAGTTTTTTCAAAATTAAAAGCAAATATGGTGGTTCCATTTATACCATTTATGCCAGAAAGTCAATATTTTAAAACATTTCGCTTCCACCCCCTCGTACGAAGGAATTAAAGTTATCGAGTGGCAATACATTGAACGAATGTAATGCAGAAGCGGTTCGCGAACCTTTCACGAGAGACCACATCAAAAGGATCGTCTAGGAATACCGAAGCCTTTATCGTTATTGCAGGTCCAACAGCATGGGGTGTCTATGGCAGCGTACCGGAGGAGGATAGGATGATTGCAGGCTGAGCTTGCCGCGTGTTTCCTGGCCGTTCGTCATTTTTAGTGGTCGGACCTCGCTCGCTCGGGTATTAAATTATATTTCACGCGGTGATTAACGGTCTCCTAGGATGTATTATTAAACCGCGCGCAGGACCCGGTAGAACGACGTGGAATCCTTGCCGGACACGGTGACCCCGACCCCTTTTCCTCTTCATTGCCCTCTTTTTCTCGGATGTTCCTCTTAAACGATCGCCTTCTTGCCTGCGCTTTTCGTTCTTCTTGGAAAACCTTTATTGCTCTACACCGTGTTCGTGAAATTGAAAAAGGGAACGAGGGACTTTTAAAGTCGGAGAAGAGACCGGTAGCTTCTCGAGCATGGTTGCGTTTAATGCTTATGAAGGAGTTGAGAATGTTTGACTACCCTTTTCTTTTTCTCAGTCTTTTTCAAAGAGCCCCGTGATCGTACGTCGTTTATTGATTTCACGAAAACAAGCAAAGACGCTTTGAGATAAATTAAATGGAATTTTCTTGTTAGTCGAGTACTGTACTTTGGTACGATGGTTCCTTTGAATTATTCCGTGGAACGAAATCGTGCCGGAACGTTTATTCTCCAAGTTGTATACAAAATTATGAATTTACATGTCTCCGTGGAATTTAAGAGGTCTCTGAATAATTAGCAGCTCGTTTCGTGCCCACGTTCAAATAATACTCGTTAGAGCTTTAATCCCAGTGAAACTAAAACCATCAAACGTTCACACGTTAAACTGTCCTAAGTTCCCTGAAAATGTATTTTTAATTATCAGTTTTTGCACGCATTTAACGACACGTTCTCGCAAAGAGTTATCGCCACGACGACTATACAAGTTCGGTAATTTTACCTGGAAGCGTTCCATGGATGCCTGTCGTTGACAACTTACGTGGAATTGCACCCACAGGAAATGCGGCTGTACACACACGATCCCGGTGTCGACAATGTACACTTGTCCAAGTTATTGACAAGGGAAATTTTACGTCTCGCGACGTTTCCACCCGGTAAAATCGACGTTTTAAATGGAACTGAACCCTCTTGAAGTCGTGCCTCGTTTCCTTTTTTATATCCTAGAAATCTTATGAGAAGAAATTTCACGGTGTGAAATGCAAATAGTAATTACCGTCGAGATCCAAATACAAGGATTTACGGGATTTCACAACAACGAAGATGAATACAAGTCGAGGGTCTGCTACGAAGAGTTATTCTATTTTAGGTTGTAGAAACGGACCGAGGCAAGTTTTGATCGTGCACCAGGCAATTATACGTGGAAACGTGTGCAAACGTATATTTGGTGCGAGCACGGCCACGCTAATTACATTGTTTCTCCCCAGACCACGCTGGATCCGACGAGTAATTTATAACTTAGGAAGAGGTCGTAAAGGGAATCGTTACTAATGACATCGTAAAACCGATACAGACGATGTGTGTTTAACTTGCATTCCACTATCCACTTACATTTTATATATTAATATATACATTTGAAATAGGTGCGTCTATATTTTATTAATTAACACCTACATTCTTCGCATATACTAATTTTTTTTTTCTCGCGTCGATAGATATTTGATTCCAATTTAAAATCGATGGAACATCGCGGTTTCACGATAAAAAGTAGACACTGAAAAGGTTTCCACTGTTTCGGGCTAAGTTTCACCACAAAATTTTGCACTAAACCACCAAAACAGAATCACGAGATGGATAGAAAGACGTGAGAATTGATTAATGGGTGAATTGCCGATGCGGTTTTATAACATATACCCTTTCTTGATAAAATGAGTGCGAAAAAATGAAAAAAATTTATTTAAAAAATTAAAATTTCCATTTTAGATTAAAGAATTAATGTTTTATTAATTATTTCATTACACTATTAATATTAAACAGCATTTATATTACTCAACATTATGCAAGCATTAATTTTTAATTAAATTCTCATTCGTTTCTACTACACATCTCGTACGCTTCAATGGTAGAGTTAATTTCATTCATCGTTTTTTAACAAGCCAATGAAAACGTATCATTCATTATGAATGAAGAGCACGTGACTTGATAGTTTTGGCGGGAAAGTAGTAACAGGTGTGAGTAACCTAATACGTATAACCTCAAGAGTCTTCTAAAGGCACAAAATGAAAGAATATCTATTGAAAAACCATCGAGAAGAATTAGAAGAAATTTTGGACAGCTTGGACATCAGCGGTTTCTATTCAATCTACATAAAGTGAGTCATGTGTACTCTGTAAATGAGTCATAAGAATGATTCATGATAACTGTTTTCCAGCTTTGTATCACTGTTTGAATATGATACGGATATGGCACAAAAAATTTTACAATATCCCAGATATTATCTACCACTTTGCGATGAATCAGTTGTGGAAGCTCAACAAGAGTTGGCAAAACCAGAACAAGTTGTTAAAAAGAAAGTAATGATGCATAGTTTTACTTTTCCACATTTCAACAAATTCTTTTCTCTTCATTTTGGGAATATCATGAATAGGTACGCATCAGAGTTACTGCTGTACCACTGACAGTGGACCAGGGACAAATTGGGCAACTTGTTTCAACAAGTGGCATTGTAGTAAGAATGTCCCAGCCTTCAGTATTAAAGCTTGTCCAAAGATACAGCTGCAAGAAGTGCCAGCACATTAATCACATTAAAGTTGGTTGAAACATATAAATCTCCCTCTGTAATCCTATATGAAATAATAATTTACATGTCCTGTATTTGTAGTATGAATGGGAGAGACAAACTTTTGGAGATATCTCAGAGTGTGAAGCATGCAATGCGACAAAATTAAAAGCCATCAATGAGTTTGATGTAGAAGATTCCTCAGATTGCCAAGAAATCAGAGTACAAGTATATTATTAATTTTCTTTGATCATTATTTCATGGTTGATTAACATTGTTAAGTTAGAAAATTAACTATTGATTAGGAAAAGGGTAAAACAGATACCAGGTACTTGGTTGAGGAACTGAAAATCACCTTGCTGGATGATTTAGTTGATAAATGTAGACCAGGAGATTATGTCGAAATCAGGTGAATAAGTAACTATTTTAAAACACCGAAATACAGTTTACTAATTGATATACTACATACATACCCATAGTGGTGTAATAGTGCGAATATGGGGACCCTTAGAACCTGATGAACGTTTAGAAGCAACAACCATGATGATAGCAAACAGCGTAACAGTCCGGCGGAAGATATCCGACACATCTTCCAGCCAAGAGATGAAAGACATTTTCGAAAATTATTGGGAAAAGTACAACGACAACCCTTTGCTTGGTAGAGACAATATTCTTGCATCGATTTGCCCTCAGGTATAATGCCCAACTAATAACAATATTGACAAGAAGTTGACAAAACGAATAAACGTTTATTATTGAAAGCTCTATGGGATGTACACCCCAAAGTTAGCCCTAGCCGTTGTCCTAGCTGGGGGTGTGACTAAATACAACGACAACGGTAATTCTCTGTTTCTCATCTTTATTATTTTCTTCGTGTAAAATACAATTATTAAATCGATCAAGGAACACGTGTACGGGGAGAGCCTCATCTTCTGTTGGTCGGCGATCCTGGAACTGGCAAGTCGAAACTGCTTCGCACAGCAACTCGTTTGGCTGTGAGGTCTGTTTTTACAACCGGAGTTGGATCAACTGCAGCTGGTCTAACAGCAACTGCTGTCAGAGTTAGTTGCCGTTACTATGCAGTCCTCCGTCCATAATGATCAACGTTCGGATTCATTTTTATCTAATTATACAGGACTCGGACGGCTGGCATTTAGAAGCTGGGGCACTGGTGTTAGCGGATGGCGGAATATGCTGCGTGGATGAGTTCACCACGATGAGTTCACACGACAGGACATCCGTGCACGAAGCCATGGAGCAACAAACGATATCAATCGCCAAAGCTGGATTAGTTAGCACGTTGAACTCGAGGTGTTCGGTGATTGCAGCCATCAATCCAGCCGGTGGTCAATTTGGTGCCGAGGACGAAGAGTGGGAAACGAGCTTAGGTGATCCTCTTCTATCTCGTTTCGACTTGATATTGCTTCTGAAGGATAACAGGAATCCGGAATGGGACAAGCTAACGTCGGACCACATTTTGAAGGCTGCTTGCGAAGTTAACGAAAGCCTGGCTCAAACGTAATCAATTTTGATTACACAGTTGTTAATTCTTACGGTTACTTTATTAATTATCAATTCCAGAGACTCGAAGAATCACATCGAGCTTTTGAAGACTGAAGGTCTGTGGAAGGAGGACAGTTTGAGGGAATACTTGGCCTATGTGCATTCCCTGCAACCAGCCTTGACGAAAGAGGCGGAAATGGTACTTAGGGCAACTTATCTTTACCACAGATCACATCCGGATAGAAGAGAAGAAAGGACTACTGTACGGCTCTTGGACAGTCTTATTAGGTAAAGGATGATGGAATTTTTAAGAGGAATATTTTTGATGTATCTCATTTTTAGGCTAGCCGAAGGACATGCTAGATTAATGTTTAGATCGAGGATTGAACTTATGGATGCCATATTCGTGGCAAAATTAGTTGGAACAGGAACATCGTCAGAGGTGGATCCCGGTTGTTCGTTTCCAACAGACCCGATTGCCACTTATCGATTCGAAGGTATATATATTTATTCATATTAACAGAGTAATCTAATCTAATCAGAGAAATTCACAGGTCAAAAATTACTGAGGACTCTCGGTTTAGAAAACTTGGAAACTTTGTTATAGATATTGGTATTTAAGAGGAGTCACTGCGGAAAGGAAATTTCTTATGAGTAAACTAAATATTTATTTGTCAATTTTTTTGTTCTGTTCACTGCTTACATAAGTACAAATGTACCAGCGTGTATTTATAAAATTTAAACATCTTTTTTAAATATTTTTATACAAAACGAATTAGTCTATTGTTAACCGCTATATAATAAAGATGGCGTATAGTCATTGCAATCAATTTAAACAGTGTTACATGTCTAAAAATATATTTAAAAGGGTATAATAATGTATGATCAAGTCTCAACAAATAACAAGATACATTTAATTCTTTATTTTTATCTCCCGAACATTCTTTTTTTCTACTCGATATTAATTTCCCACTTCATTCGGACATTTTTGGATACATCCAATAAAGTAACAGCAACGATATAACCCAATTATTTGTTTTTGTAGGCTACAAATAATTTATCGATAATTAATAAATAGTTAAACGTATGTAAAAGTTATTTGTTTTCAAAATATCCCCTATTTATCTATATAGATTAAACTTTACAAAGTGATATAATATTTTATGGTGCTAGATAACAAGTACTTAATAAGGAAAGGCCATATATTACATGTTGCAAGGAATGTATAGGACAATATTGGGATAGATATAAAGATGTTTCATTTTCGTATAATTGGTAATTAAGTTAACGCTTATCAACACAACAAATGAAGATTAAACTCTACGAACTCGTGGATACAACTGTGTTATAAAATTATTTTGATTTTCAGCAAACCGAATACGCTTTTCCATCGTATAAATCGCGCATGATTACAACATCATGAATAAAAGTGCCACTCTAAAATAGAAAAGCTAGCAAATATATTTGATGTATAATAGAAGCAATAATATAAGAATTACTGATATGATTATGAGCTCACTCCTACTACATGATAAATTATTCCGTGCCTCCTTTTTCCTTTTTAAATTAAACGTATGAAATATATGTTAAGTAGTACATAAACGCACACACTTGTACAAACAGTATGTTTTATTCCAGTATAAAATACTGCTGCGAAAAAGATATGATAATTTATAAGCATCTGTTAAGAGTATTCGTGTACACTCTGCTAATTAATTATACGATTAATTTCAACAAAACATGCACGAAAAATAAAACATGATTCAAAAGATTATAATTTACATTATAATTTTCCAATGTAAGACGACATAATTTCGTTTCGATACAAAAGCATCGAAACTATGATCTATCGGTTTACTGATAAGTAAAACATCAGAGTACCTGAAGAATAAATTCTGGAGGGTAGCAAAATCACGCTTAGTAGCGTGGTTGATTAGCAGCATTAGCCATTTGGGTGCGGACAGCGTTGGCGGCAACGTTACTCGCAGCAGTTTGCACGTGTTCATTGCGCAAAAATGTTGTTGCAAATTCCTGTTGTGCTTTCGAAACGCTCGCGTCTGACGAACGATAAATGCGATGGATCTGAAATGTAAATTTTCTTCAGCATCTTATTAATAAGATAAAGCTTCGTCGAACTTCCAATTCTACCTTCGTCAATAACAGAAGATCACCGCACGCAGCAAGAACAAAACCAAAGGCGATGAACAGCAACAAAAGGCCAACAAAAATCCCCTTCGCGGACTTATCGAACATCATCATAGCTGTTATTATACCACTGTAATTATAAATAATAAAGAGTTTCAGTCGCGATCCTAAACGACAGTCGAGCCGCTGTAAAGGTTAAAGAATTACCAAGTTCCTGAGCCAGGAATGCCTATAGCCTGAATTGCTGTTACGATTAATTGAAAGAAAAAGACAAAGAAAAACACCATGAAGTTGAAAGAGCTATCATTCCTGAAATAAACGAATCGTGTAAGATAATCGTGTAAAAGCCGGTAAGTTAGCATTGATCAAGATACGTACTTAAAAGCTTTGTAGGCTGGTCTGTACCAGCACAAGAACGAAAATGGAGTAAAAAGTATAAGATATAATATTCCAAGACCAAATGTTGAAAACCTTTCGTTACATAAGATTAGCACGAATCCACCGAAAACATTTAGAACCATGACACAACCATGAACTGTAATTCAAAGGAAATATTTAGTAGGTTGATGACTGTTGTTCTATAAAAACCTAATTGTGATGCATTAAACTTACACATCCAGAGATGATACAGTTGCCTGACCACCTTCTGAAAGTCTGTACTTATTTCCACATCTATATCTTGGTAGAAACAAGGTTGGAAGCAACACTTATCAGGTAAAGGTGGCCAGTTGTGTGGTTTTGCTTTAATACAAGAAATTTGAATTGATCAGTAGTAGTAAATATTAGGTGAATATTTGATGTTTGTTATGTGGACTTACGATAATATGCTGAACTTCTCATATCCTCTTCTGCTCTTGCTTTCCATTCTGGCTCTGATCTTTGCTAAAATTTGGTAATCAAAATACAAAGATGATTCATTGTATAACATTTGCAAACACATAATTGCATATACAATTACATCTGAAGTAGGAGACAATGTGCTTCCAAGTGCTGCATTCACTGTTTGTTGAGGAGTACGCGTGTAATTAGTTGGTGGAGCTTCTTGATTTGAGGGCTGAAGAGTGGCTGGTTGTGTTGCTCCAACTCCTCCATAGATTGGAGGATTTGCAGCACCTCTGACCTGTGCAGTTCCTTGGGAACCTTGGTCTGCAAATGGATTATAATCTTCCAAGCCTCTGTTAGCTGGTGTTGAGGATACAGCTCTTCTTATTGCAGGATCCTATTTTTAGAAATATTCCCAATTGTCAACTGTTCTTCTTACATAGCAATTAGCCATGAAAAAGAAGGACTGAGTATGGTTATTCCCAATGAATGTATATTTATAGAGGATGTCTATATATAGAATCAACAGCCATTTCAGAATTTTCTTTATTTGATACATATACATAAGGTTGTACGCAAGATGACAATTTCTGATATACAAAATCATGATTATCAATTTTAACATGAATAAAGATATGTACAAGTACAAAGATCAATATGAAAAAATGCACAATATTTACTTAATTGATATGCCAATTTACGTCAAGACATAAGATGAATATTCGCTTATGATCTTCAATGAAATCTTTTAATTCAATTGTATAGATTTATTTCCATTTGACAGCTTTACACGCAATATTGAACGAGGTGATACATGTTTGATTTTAGCCGCTGTTAAATTACTCACCGCAAACGGATCATTGATGCTTGGTTCCGCGAAGGGATTCTCGTCGAAACCAGACATTTTAATCGTCGTTCACCGAGCCACAAGCCGATATATCGTTGAAAATTAATAAGACCTTAACACGCTCAAAATAATCTTATCTAAAGGTGTCTATACTTGATGATCCATTGCGCTGCGGTTACCTACGGTATCGCCGGTATTTTAGCATCACAACTAGTAATTCTGTAAAATAGCTGCTGCCACGTCTATCGCTAATACAATAGGTGTGTTTCACAGGTCGTGACTAATCCTATTTACAAGTGAGAACAAATCCCATTTACAAGTGAGAAGAACGAACAGATTAAGTTCGAGCTCCGCACGTTAGGTGGAGCAGTGATTGTAGTCACTGGGTGGAGGCAGTAATTACAGATCTAACAAGATTGGATATGCCTTTGTATTCGGGGGTTCCTGAGCATGATCCTCGAGAAAGAACGCCACGTGCTCTATCCTAGTATAAAAATGTGAAACACTTTGCGGTGCATAGTGACTACAGATCCAACAAAACTAGGCATGCCATTGTTTTCAAGTAGTTTTAAATTTGTGCCTAGAGAACGAGCGCCATCTGCTTTATTCTAGTATAAAAATGAGAAATACTTCGCACTGCAACAGTCTAACGCACTTTGATGGTAAAAGTAGATTGATTCAATATCAAAAACTATACTCCATTACTCATTGTTAGTTAGTGTCTCAAGCTCAGTTTTATCATATTACAGCAACAAGAGGAGCAGCAAGAAGAGGTTGGCTTCCCTACCAAAACCAGTGGGGCCGTCAGGGCCCCTGGCGTCGAGAGCGGCGGCTCTCCAGATGAGTATGAATATGGCAGTCGTGGAGGGCTCCGGATTAATATATGTACATAAGGTCCCAGAGCACTCCTTCAGCGCCAGTGTCGGTCGACGTGGGGTTTTAGTCAGTAGTAATCTGACACTCCTCCACCGTCCTCCCTCAGGTGCAATCACTGATTCCAACAAAGGTAGATGACTGCGGCACCGTTATCAACCGTTCGACCTAGAGCGAAGTGAAACAGCATCAGTCTTATAGCGACCGCCGAGGGGTGCAGATCTATCTGCTAAACAAACAATATCTATATTTCATTTTCCGCGTTCATTTAATTTGCTGTAACTATCTTCTTAGCTTATTGAATAAACTCATTAGGAGGACGAACGTGTAGATTTTATTACTCCCATGTGTCCCTGATTCCCTTACATCTCTGAACCCCTCATATCTCTGCATTATTTACATCCTTGCATCGTTTACATCCCTGCTTTCTTTATATCCTTGCATCCTTTACACCTCTGTCACACTCACGTCCCTGCGTCCCTCACATCCCCGTATGCCTTACATCCCTCTATCCCTTACACCTTTCTATTCCGTACACCCTTTACATCTCCCTATCCTTTCTGTTCATCTTACAACTCCCTTATAGCCCTTATAGCTTCCCTTATAGCCCTGCATCCCACAAATCACGCTATTTCCTACAATCTGCGGTGCCTTACATCCCTTTATCACTTACATCCTTGAAACGACGCTTTCGGCGTTCGTAACAGCGTCCTCTGGCGGCAAAAATGTGAACTAAATTTTCGACGTTGGGTCAGCGCCCTCTGGCGGCGAAAAAAGGAACTAAAGCTTGCACCAATTTTGGCCCTCTGGCGGCAAAAATGTGAACTAAATTTTCGATGTCGGGTCAGCGCCATCTGGCGAGGAAAAAAGGAACTAAAGCATGCATCAATTTTGGCCCTCTAGCGGCAAAAATGTGAACTAAATCTTCGACGTTGGGTCAGCGCCCTCTGGCGGCGAAAAAAGGAACTAAAGCTTGCACCAATTTTGGCCCTCTAGCGGCAAAAATGTGAACTAAATTTTCGACGTCGGATCAGCGCCATCTGGCGGGGAGAAAAGGAACTAAAGCATGCAACAATTTTGGCCCTCTGGCGGCAAAAATTTCAACTAAATTCTCGACGTCGGATCAGCGCCATCTGGCGGGGGAAAAAGGAACTAAAGCACTCAACAATTTTGGCCCTCTGGCGGCAAAAATGTGAACTAAATTTTCGACGTTGGGTCAGCGCCCTCTGGCGGCGAAAAAAGGAACTAAATTTGAATTTTAAAAAAAGACTTTACTTACCTTTACTTACCTGTACTTACCTTTACTCGAATCAGTGACCATAAATATATTTTTCATAATATATTATTATATTTGTAATATATTTATTACAAGGGTTGCAGGGATATAAGAGATGCAGGGATATAAGGGATGCCATGGTGTAAGGAATGCAGAGATGTAAGAAGTGCTGGGATGTAAGGGATGCAGGGATAAAAAGGATACGAGGATACAGTGATTTGGGAGTAGTCCCTGCGAGGTCCACGAAAAGAATGAAAAAAATAAATTACTGCAAAGGGTTTTCGTCCGTAAAGAGTAGGAATAGGATAAACAATAACTGGGAAGGGTGGTCTCCGCGAGGCCGATAAAGAGAAATAAAATAATAAATAATTAGGAAGCCTGGAGTTGTCCTATAAAGGAGAATAAAATAATTAATAACTTAAAGGGGTGGACTTTAGTCCATAAGGAAGGATAAAATAATAAATAAAAGGTGTGGTCGGCCCAGAAGAATTTTATTCCTCTTTGATGAGCTTGTTAATAATCGGAAAAAATAAATAAAGTAAATTAAATAAACTCCGAAGGTAAATTAGAAGTATATGTATGTTTGATAGGTTGATCCGCACCCCTCGGCGGCCGCTATAAGAGTGAGGAGGTCGCACCTCGTTCTAGGTCATATTGGGAAGTAATTACTGTGTTCTGATTTAGGTTTGATGTTCATGTATATTATGTTTGTAATTTATTAAAGATCAAACTCAGTTGCTTTTTTCAAATGATTTATTTGCCGAAGTGCATGAAGTGAATACAAGTTTATCAAACAATTACAATAATAATTGTCCAGTTTTGTGCTGCTTTTGACTGATTTAAAAAAAAAATAGAATCAAAGGGAGTGAAAAGTGTATCTTTTGAGATGTTAGTCTGCAGTGCGGTAAAAGAGGGACTGGTAAAACAGATACGATTATCATACTGGCTGTGCTCTCTACATGCAGACCTAATCTTGTTTTGGGGTGTCTGGGACCCCATAAATCATGACCCTTCGAAAACAAAGGCATGTCTAATCTTGTTGGATCTGTAATCACTGCTGGAACTTAATTCAAACACAGATATTTTATACAAAAATTTGAAATATTTCATGAGTTATCGACTTCCTAAATACCTTTTAATCCATTTTCAATTTCAAAAGTACCTTGTTATTTTCTATTCAACGCCATTTAATTTTTCCTAATTACATTTTCTTCTATCCTTTACCATATTAAAGTAATAACTTGGTTCATTTGTATAGGATATCTTATCTTCCAGAGTTACTCATATTATACTTAATCTAAAAAATGTTAAGTTTATCTTTTATAAGTTACTGATTTAATTATAAGAGAAATCCAACTGTTGAAGGAGGAACAGCCCCTCGAGTTATACTGCCTAATGATTCATAGAAAAGGTAAAGAGTACTTTAAGCTTAACAAGCTGTACAGTGGGGGTGGAATGAAACAAAAGCGATTTTATAGTCGGTAGAACCGACGCAGGCGCAATCAGTGTGATAAAAGGATAGATAAAGTAGCGTTATGTTAGCAGAACTACCAGTCGCTATGCGCTTACCCCAGTACGTAAAGTGCTTTTTTGCATTAATTGTTACACTTTGTCGTGTTTTCTTGCGCAAAGAAAATCGCTGGAAAAGAATTCTGCTCGAATTGTCGGACGCGTTTCAGGCAGATAGAGAAGGACAAATTTAAGGAGAACTTATATTTTTACGGCAATGAGATGGATGGAAGGGGTGTGATTATTTTGAAACATGTAAGTGCGCGCTTCTTTCGTTCTTAATATAAACAATATTGAAAGAATGATCAAGATAAAAATGGAATGAAATTTCTTTTAAATAAGAAAACCGTATAAAAGGAACTTATGTTACGTGTATGATAGGAATTTTGAAAATTTACTTGTAGAATGGATGTGAGTTCACTGGTGCCGGCTGGTTTTCAAGCGGGGCAAGTGGATCTCTGCGAGGTCCAGGCTGGTTATAATAAATTCTCCGAGAATTTGAGGAAATTCACACCTCAGGCGATACAGTGCGCGATTTTCTGTGGTGGTTCTAGGTGCAAATATGAAAATCCAAGAGCCTGGCCGCCTGTGCACATGGCAATACAGAACATCTTTTCGCATTGGTAAGGCTGGCAATAAAAGATTATGAACCTTTTCTCAGTCCAGTTCATTGTTTGCAAATAAAAGGATACAATTTTCACTTGAATACATTTTGTTGATAAATAAAATGAAATCGATCATTATCATGTCACAAACAAAATAGGCTCTATGTCACGTGATCTAATATACATACATTGTAAAATATATAGATAAAAATAATATATAAGCTGGTGGCATTGATTTCCCCCGAATTGTTTGAAAGTTCCAACAATTTTGATCAGGGATATATTCTGTTAATTGTTCGTTTCATCATGAAATGGAGAAACTGTAAGGGTCGATAATTCCTGTAGGGTGACAGACGACGTCCTCGCGATGGCACGACCAAACACCGCACAGATAATAAAAAAGGATATAATTGCCCAGTTTCAAGGGTGGAGTATAAAAACTATAATAAACCTACAAACGCCGGGAGAGCATGCGAGCTGCGGTGGCCCCCTCGAAGAAAGTGGTTTCACTTACGATCCTAACATCTTCATGAAACATGACAGTAGGTATTCAAATATTAATTAAATACTTAGTTAAATATTAAAAATATAGCGAAGATATCAATATATTCTTCAAAAATTAGATGCAACTAAATTTCAATAGTAGAACTGATCAACTGAGTACTTCATGTAGCTAAATATTACAAATAATTAAATTAATATATTGAAAATTGTGTCTCTTGCAAGTGGGGGTTGATTTGCCTTTGAGTAGGGGGTGAAATTTGTTCGTACGAGTCAGCTGCAACTCGGTGAATTAAATCGAAGGGGTTCAAGTGGAACATGCAATGCAGCAAAATCGTGTATCCATGCAGAGAAAACAAAAGTATCGCTGGTTGAATAGCAACCGCACTAAACTCGAAACTACTACCCTCAAGGTCTGAAAAAAAACGATTTCACGACTCTGTTACAGTTTACTATTACAATTTTGCATTGAAGGACTACGGGGATGCGACAATGAGCAAACTTTTGGATATGGTCAAGGTCGTGGCCTTTGCCGTGCAAGAAGGAAGAGTGGCGATTCACTGTCACGCTGGTAAATCGATCTCCTCCGATACTCATCGATCCAATTTTTTTTTTTATCACCGTTACACTAATTTCAATTTTACAACCATCTGTCTTCGATTATCTGATCTGAGCGTTGAATTGACGTTACATGACGTTACACGATTAAATCTGTAGATTTTACATATTGAAGTCAGCGAAGATGTTATCTGGATAGCGAATAGACACGTCGATGCGATTTCTCTTATCAAGATTCGTAAAACGACCGCTTTAATTTAAAAAGATAGTTGTTATCCGAGGCCCTTACTTTCTATACGGTCTCCCTTATCAGCAATTTGTAACCTTTAAACGTATCGATCTATGGCACGTGTGAAACTCGTTCGACCGAGTCGCGATACTGTTTTGGTGCATTGCGTGCTGCAAAACCGCGACGACCAAACGCGGTGCATCTGAATTTTTGCATTCATTATGCACACCATCTCCCTTGAACTTTCGATTGAGCCTAACAAATGACACGTTTCGTACGGCATATACATTAGTCGAAAATGATAACTAAGAATAATATCTGAGCAAAAGAAGGAAAAGTCTTAAATAAATTGTAGGTAAAGCAAAAAGAAAGATGAAGCTGTTTCTAAAAATTTAGGAAATTGTAGTTTTAACCCTTTCATTATGAATAGTTATATGTAATTATAAAAAGCAGCATAGTAATAAAAGAGTTCATTGTGTTTCTCGATCAATCCCATAATCGACAAGAAACTTAACACCCCCTTTCGCACGAGCCCATGACTAATTCCCTAATTGACGGGAAGCGTGCTTGCCAACCATAAACGTAGTCACTTCGGTACCTCGGCAAAATTTATGTGCACGAAAAATAGACTAAGGAAGATAAGGAATTAGGGCGTAACAGTTTTCAACTCTTCATAAATATTTTCACCTTTAAATAATCTATTCGAAAGACCAAAATTATTGCTCGATATAATCACGAGGTTCAGAAGCCTTAAAGTAAACCTATTTAGCTTGATTGAATCGATCGATCAGATGTTTGATAACAAAATACTACGAGTCATGCATGCTTAACAATCATGGAAATTATATTTTCTTTGTATACGTAGGGGTTGGTAGCCAACAACCATGCCAGATCGTATACTCACGTAATCGTATCGTTACGTGTACGAAGCTATTCCATTTTCCGCTTTTAATATATACAGTAGATTCAGATACTTGTCAGACGCGAACGATTTATTTCTCTGAGATCACGAAATTATTTGCCATGAAAAACGCACGAAACTTTGCGGATTCTTCCATCGAGGAATTCCTGGTCGTTTTGTCAAGCCATGATTTAATGGAATAGCCGAAATTCCACGCGTGCCTCGCATGTACGAACTGTAACTTAATTACTAGCTGTGGATACGTGTTAGAGAACCACGAAATATATACCATGGCAGTATCGAATCGGATACATCATAACTCTCGTTAACCCCGGAACTCGACCGGTCGCGATTACGAGTTCCGTTTCCGATTCATGGTTCCAGCACGAACGAGTAATTTATTTCTCGAATTAGATGCGATCGATACGCTTGTAACCATACCGAGATAAATATTTCAATTCACTGCTTCATTTTGATAAAAGTAATATCGGCTAAACTTGTTCATGAAATAAATTCATTCATAAGTTGAAATTTTAATACCGATTCGATTTCAATTTGAAAATTATTAATTCTACGGTGTGCATTAACAGAATCACGAATAATTATTTCAGGTCTAGGTAGAACCGGAGTCCTGATCGCGTGCTACCTCATTTATAGTCTTCGAGTAAGAGCAAACGATGCCATTAGGTTCGTCCGTATGAAACGACCCTGCGCGATACAAACGCGAGGGCAGATACTCTGTATCCAAGAATTCGAGCACTTTGTGCTTCCTCAGATGATAGTTTTCCCTTTAAGTAGCGCCATAGGTGATCGCAAACCTTGCAGCTTGCAATCTCACCTGAGAAAGCAACAGAATGTTCTACACGGATACGAGCAGCGTACCTTTAAACACATCCCGAAGGTTCGTTTATACTTGACAGATTTTAAGCGATGTAAATTATTAATTTATTTCAACCATAGATCGTGTTCACGATCTGCGAGCGGATTCTCCAGTTGTGCGATTGCCAGGAGGACAATTCTCCCTGTGAGATTAAATACACGATTTCTAATATTTCTTTCACTCAGAAGTTCATATCTCACGTTTTGGAGAAATTCAGAGACGGCAAAGGAAATATTAAGCATTCTTATTCTTGGGCTGAATCACTTGCTGATTCTTACGACGGTTCTAGTAAGATACGTTCAATTGTTATTGAAGAAAATTTTGACAAATTTTTTACCTATTTTGCAATCGTTCAGGTTCTGCTAAAGCGTGTGCAAGTAGTAGCCAAGCATCTTCGAGGGACACTTCGGACGATATTGGAAGATTAAGCGACGTATTCTGTACATCCCCTGACACTCCATCTTGTGATTCTACTTTTCCAGGTATACCAATTATGTATGTAATAAAATAATGAATAGATTTCATTTAATCAAGAAGCCTTTTATGCAGGTCTAGATGACAACTATGTGGACGACGTTCTTGGCGATGGAATTCATGGTCAGGACCTCGCAGATAATGATTGTTACAAAGAAATTCAATCTCATATAGATCTCAAAGCTGCTGCACAAAATGCAGCCGTCGAAACTGTGAGCACCGATGTGGCGATCAGGGCGTTGATCAGAGATAACGCGACATTACATGACAAAACGAAGAAACGTTTACAGGATTATCAGGTTTAATATTATGAAATTTGTTTCTTTAGAAATTAAACTATAACCTTTGTGTTTGTTTATTTTTAGATGGATCTGAATCATCGTTCCACAGCTTGGCAGAGATTACAAATGGAAACTGATTTGGACATCCTGTCAGGATTATTATTCGAGTGGTTGGAGACAGTGAAGCACCCTCTGCTCGACGTTGATAGTCTTAGCTACATTGTTGTGTGGAGTTCCAAGCCTCAACGATGTCTTGAAAAGCTTCCCACTTCTAATAGATACTTGTTGGAGTATCTCCTACGATTCGTCAGTAGATTGAGACCAATGACTGCTGAAAGTCAAAGTCTGATAACGAAGAGGTTCATGGCTGCCCTCACGCAGCAGAGTATCTGGATCAGGAGCTCCTTTTACCCTGCTAGTAAATATAAAGAATACAAATTGCAAGATGAAAATTTAATAGATCACTGGGAATTCTAAATAGAAGCACTCAAATGTGATAATTCATATAACTTATTTTTCATTTCCAAAAATTACACGGTATGATTTTGCAAAATTATTATTTTTGAATGTTTTAATAATTACATAAATGTTCCAAAGATCCAAATTTATAAATTCAGTATTAAATTCAAACATTTAATGTCTTTAATAATCCATACCATCGCGTGTCTGACAAAACAGTTAATTTCTCCTGTGAGCAATCTATTCATTTCCCCTCGTCAATGATTTGATACAAGCTCTATTCCATTTAATCTTAGGTTACGTACGACTGATACTGGGGTTTGACAAATTATTTTTGTTACCAATAATCATCCTCCAGCGATGGCTATTAAATATTTGATGGAGGTATGGATATTGCCTGTGCAATTGACATACGTCTGCTCTAAGAAATACACGGCAAGGTTGATCGCCAGCAAATATCGATTCGTGTCGAATGTCCCTATTTATGTTATTAATAATTACAGGACTTTATGTGTTACGATGAAACGCGAGAGACTTCGATTGTATCTCTCGTTTCAAACATGAATTCTAATCGGTCTATCATGTTTCAGGTAAAAATTTTCAGAAACTGCGACGGGGAACAGCGGCGAAGCTGAATGAATTTTTTATCAGACTAATGAACCTGATAGAAGAAGTGAACACCCAGGAAATGGAGAAGCCTTCGTGGTCTTCGAAATGGGAATTGGTGTCTAATCAATTGCGACAAGTAGAGAAGCAAGAAATTCAGGAAGTTGTTTGAAGATAAATCAAGAGAAAGAATTGTGAAATCGTAGAATCATAAGTTTTAATTAACTCTAGTCGTAACTAGCAATACATGGATGATATTTATTTTTACAACGTTCGAAATTGTAAGCTCTGAAAGATTGAGCATGTAAATCGCTCGAATAAAGAAGAATATTTTAGTAGTAACAAGTAAGGTGTTTCTTTCTTTCATTTTTGTGTAAAGGAATATAAATGGTAAGTATTGTATATAATAAGTAGGATAATTACTAATTACATGTTTCGTGATTAGTCATAATTAATTGATATTTATATTAATTTTCTTATATTACAAATGAGGAAAAATCAAACTGCATGTTGCATGCATAATTATCACAGACTTCCTTATAATACCTTCGGTTGTTCTTTCCAAAAAGGAGTTTATTTGCAAAATTTTACCTAAATCACAGCATGACGGTTTCCGAAGTTTCGCCATACCTTCAGTTGAAAAAGTAATTTTCTTCTAAATCTAATGAAGGTACCTAATCGATTGAAACAAAGAAAATTTTTACTTTACCAACTAATGATAACACAATATCAACAGATGACAACTACTGAAATAATTAAATTTCAAAATTATAAAAGAAAGAATACAGTGAATTATCAAGATTCTGAATTTTCAATGATATTAAACAAAAACTACTATTTTCGAAAAGTTGAATGATTCAGCGATAGAAAATTGTTTGCAGTTGTTTTATTTTAAATATGACAAACAAGGAGTTCGGAAACAAACAGTTTAGACAGCTTTGGATCCTCTTATTCACGAATTGCTGTTTTTCTTTTTATTAAGTATGTATACTCTTCTCAAGACGATTCTATTAGATAAAGACTTAAACTCTAAATACTTAATTCGAGCTAGAAAATGCGACCTCCTTAAGTGTTCTATTTACAGTATGATATAAGGTTCTTTTTTTTTCTGTGATCCTAAAACACATATTAATCGTAGACACATTTAATTTACGTGTATAAACCTTGACATACCCTAAACAACATCATATTTAAGCATATACAAACGATGTCAGTCTTATACAAAGAAAGTACAGGTGAAAAATGATAATTTTCTCGTGTTACTTACAAATTACACTTCTACTTATAATTGATAAATTGCTATTGCCCGCTATCGTTCTTTTCTTTTTCTCTTGGCGAAGAAAAAAAAAGTTTGTCGATGGAAACAGTTCCAGAGAGATTGTTTTTCTTTCAGTAACACATTTAATTTCTTCGGTAAAATCGGTACATTTTTACAAGGCAACTTATCATACAATACTTAATCAAATAATCCAGAGACGATAAATGTTCCTAGGAATTCATTTTCATTGATCTAATAAAGGAGCTCGGATCGCGTTTAAGAACTTCCTCGTTTTCTTTTTCTTTTCCCTTTCATGCGGCACAGAATAATACTGAAAAATTCATCGACGAATCCGACCCGTCGAGATCCGATCGAAACGATCGGAATAATTTCGAATTCGTGTTGTTCTCGTATAATGTGACACGTTTTAAAAAATAGATTTTTCCCCGTGTTCCAATGATCCGCGATCGATAATGCCTCGAACCCGTTTATATTCAGTCATCGCGTTACATTTTTAGAGTGAACACGTGCCACCTGTGAAAACCATCATCGCGAAAGGATCATTTTATTAATTAGTAATAAGCTCGATATCCCGGAAGAAACTAAATTCATCATCAACTCTATAAAATTTCAATAATGAAACTCAACAAACGAATAAAAATCCATCGATTCAGCACTGTTCACTCGATACCTCCTAACTTGATATGATCGCGTTGCTTCGCCATTCTTTGTAATGAAACGAACATGAATACAAAAAAAAAATGTAAAAGAGAGAGAGAAGGGGGGGAGAGAGATAAAAGTATTATCTGGCCGAATAAAATGTGAATAAACGATGAACCAGAAGAGTACTCGAAAAATCCCGTCTTTCTTACGCTCGTACGAAAATCGAAACATTTATACAGACCTACGTTTCTTTTTTTTCTTTTTTAGAAATATACAACAAACATAACAGGGAACGTATAAACATGTACAATATAGAATATCCGCAAGGTAACAGCCGGCTACTATACAAAAAGAACAACGCTCGTGAAATGAAAAACGTCGTTAAAACGATCACTGTGTGCTAAAAGTGAATCGACTTGAAGAACATCGTGTTCACTCGAAATCGATCGTTTGCTCCCGTTCATTATCATTCGATCAATCGTCGTACATACACCCACACACACACACATTTTATATATATATATACGATAAAACGAGAAAGTACAATCTTGATTCGAGCTGCCGTGAGAGAATGATCCACAGCGATATCCGACATTTGAAAAGTAAAAATTAAATGCAGACGGGATACGCGTAACGCATTGTGTGTCTGTCCTGTGTGTTGTATTGTATTTATATGTATATATATATATATATATATATATAGACTTTTATATACCACATTATCGATAAACTTCCATTCATCCGCAATGTTTTCGCAAATCCCTAATGCCTCGACGAGTGTTCAACTATTTACAAAGGAGAGTTCTTTCCTATGTTATATCGAGTCCTTAATCCATTATACACAATACATGTATAGACTTAGATTAGTAATAGTAGCATTACGTGAAAGCGAGCCCAAAACGGCACCGGTCCTAGCGATCGTTTCTTTTATATCATTCTGAACACTTTTCTTTATTTTTTCATAATTTCTTCTCTGGATTAGCCGATATAGATTGATCGATCGGTGACGCAGGTGACGATGCACACACTCGCGGATTACGCGTGTCTCGCTTGATCCCTTTCTCTCTCGAAAGTTTTCTGATTTCGTTCGCGAACGAGCATCCTGATGGATCCGTGAATGAACGGAGGAAATTTTGCTGGGTTGTTGATTTTGAAGGGAAATCGGCTTGGAATAATGCGAGACCGAAACTTAAACGTCCTAAGCTAACTAACGTTACACGCGCGGAATGGACAGAGTAAGTAGTTAACACGTTCACTGCCATGGGGTTTGTCAGTGACCAGCACTATTGAATTTCATTTCAAGAAACAAATTTTAGGTAGTATTTAAATCGCATTACTTATGCAAGATGGTAAATTAAAAATCGAACTATGATTATTTTCACTGTGACAGTCAACGTGTTAACCCTTTCGCTACGGTACACTTTAATTAAAAATCATTTGATTATCCGTGTCACTATATTAAAAATTAAGTCCAAATTTAATTTTGTAACGTGTCTCTCCAAGAGCGAAAGGGTTAAACAGGAATGAAAATAGAATGCTTACGACAATCGCGTGATTTGATCTCTGGAATCCGACGTGAATTTCGTTCTGTAAAATAAAAGAAAAATGAAGCAAATATGACTCGGATACTTCTCGTTGTGCTAATATTACTAAGTGAAGTCGAGCTAATATAGACACCCAAAGATGAATAATTTTTTCTTACTAGAAAAATCGTTAAAACGTCAAGACGCGAGAAAAACTTCTTTGGCGACGGTGTCTTATTTTCACATCGACCGATCGCGATAAGGATGATACGTGTTACACACGTTACACGTCGCCGACGCGACGGAAGTATTCTCGTGGTCGATTAATAATTACCCTGGCAATTAAGGGGAGAAGGCCCGATCCTAAAAAGCTATCTACACGAGCGGAGCACACGTCTCTAACGTCCTCGGGAACGAATTCAATTTACAAAAATATTACAAACAAACCTCCGTGTGGCTGCAGCTCTCGAACGGAAATATATCACACGCGATCGTGTTCCGGTCGCTGTTCGAAAACGCGATACGAACAGCCACGATTCACAAATCCGTCGACGTTCGTCGAAATGAATACGATTTTACATTCGTGGTGACCTCTGACCGCGAGAGATCTCCAAAGGAAAGCTCTCCCATACCGACCTGAGCGCGCTTTCCACCTAAACTCGACTTGTTTCAGGGGTTCGAAGACCGACGAGTACGACCCCTTCGTATATTTCGGACGCGACGATTCTATCCAGTCGTATTATCATTTTTTTTTTATTTATTTATTTATTTATTTTCAATTCGGAACCGAGCTTGATTACACAGGACTAGGAGCGGAAAATTGGAGGGCGGTGGTTGTTTTAGAATTTGGAGGGAAAAACGGTGAACGGGAAATGGGTGATCGATATCTAATTTTCTTATAATTTCCGATACGTATACGTATTAATATATGTATATGTATATGCATACATGGTAATTGAATTTATTTATAAGTGCGTTCATGGCATCCACTTTTTGTGTTTCTTTATCCCGTTTCTTACTTCCTTCATCGTTTTGTCATATTTTTCCTGTAAATTCGTTTGAAATTTTGCACGAACGTGCTTTTCCATGTAGTTTTTGAATAATCGCCTGGATACCGGCGCGTGTACGTTCCTCCTCCACGGGATCGTCGACGTTTATGATCGTCGATCGTTACGAAACTACTTACTTAGTTAATTTCTCCTAAACTATACAGTAATTAGCAAGAGAGCAACGGCCGGGCACGTCGGGATTGCGCTCGTGCCTCGTACGCGAACGCTTCCTTAACCTTAAGTGTCTGATATTAGAGAATGAGGCTCTTTTCGAAAGGAGCACCCACTTTCCTTTTACATCACGAGAGATTTTGATCCTCACGATATCCTAATTACCACGAACGATATACATTTAAGACTAAAAGGGTCAGTCGTTCCCTCGCGTACCCGTCGCCACCGTCGCCGCAGCTTCGTAATTTTATCTTAAATTTAATTCCCCAACCATTCCTATTCACCCTTCTATTATCCTCAGACGATTGTCCTGCGTCCTATCCTAATCGCGATTTCCATCTATCATTCGACTTTGATCGTACGCGAAATAAATCAAATTTACACAATTATACTCGGACCAAAATCTGGTCATCGATAATCTCGGCACGAGGAATTTAATATCGAATAATTGAATTGGGGGAAAAAATTGAAAAAGCAAAGCTTCGAATAATCGCAATTATAGAACAATCAACCTATTAATTACCTTGTTCGAAATTGGTCCAGAAACGATGGTCGCGATTAGCATAGCACGCTGAACGCGCATTCACGCAAAAGAGGGGCGCGTACACGCGGGTGTATCCACGATGACGGAAGTAGAAACGAGCCACGAAGATCAGACCGAAAAAATCTCTTTTCCCTTCTCGTTGTTCAAAGGGTGTTAGTTGTTCGTCGAAACTTGACGAACTAACGCGGATGCGATTGCTTTCCCTTCTTCATTTACTCGCTAATGCAATGTACACGAAAGAGAAAGAGAGAAAGAGAGTGTGAGAGAGGGTGTTAGAGATATATGTATATGTATATACTTATGTATACATGTATAATAGAGATATAACCGCGGTTCCGAAACGAAATGGAAGAAGAACAGAAAATACATCGTTGTTCGCGATTGCTTGAGTAAGGATATGGATCGAAGGATCGCGACGACTCGATCGAGAATCAATTTTTTCATTCGTCGCGATCGATCAAGCACGGATCAAGTTCCGCGCTTATGTTCGCTTCTATTCCTCTTGTCTTTACCTTTTGAAGCCGCTTCGAACGTTCTCACGGCTTCAGATATGATGAGTGGAGGGGGTGAAGGGGATGTCTTACGAAGGATTCGTAGGGCTGGGTGGTTCTAGGGGCCTTCATCGTCATCTTCTTCGTCATTTCTTCACCTCTTTACGCTTCCTGGTCCTGGTTCTCCGTCGACTCGAGGAACAGGCAGCTTCACGTTCTTCTTACACGACCGGACTTAAAACGCGACAGCTCGAACCTAATCGTTTCTCGAGGTACGATACTACGCCTCGATCTGATCCTCCGGGGTCATTATGTCGGGCGCCATCGACAGGTCTTCAGCCATGTCCTCGTCCTGGCCGGAATCGTGTCCGTGACTTTCGGGATACTCCCTCTCGTCCACTTGATCTTCCTCGCCCTCTTGTTCCGCGGATGCGTCCAGTAGCTCCCGTTTTATTAATCTCGTCAGTTTACCACCCTCCGGACTTTGGCCCTCCTGTTTTATGTGCACGGCTGGTTCATCCAACGGCGACCTGTGGATTTTCACGAGTAATGGTCAGAAAAAGAAAATAAGAATATACGATCTCTGTTTCGGGATTATGGAATTGGCAGCTGTTATTTGGACTGTTTTCAGGAGATGAATGGTCATTTTTTCTTTCGTATAGTTGTGACTCACATTAAATCGTTGTGGGCTAACACGTGTTCCTTGTCGGGGCTCGTTGTCGTCGACGTGCACATGGAGTTGCTGAGAAATCCCATATTCGAGTCACCGAGCGCCGGCTGGAAATACTCAAATTGCATTAGATCATTAGTCGTCTATATTCGTTACCAATCCCTATCGTTAAGAAATTACAAAAGACACGTTAATGGTCATTGATTTAAAAAGAATTTCTAAGAACCTAGAAAGAGAATATTCATCAATTTGGATAAATTGTTCAACCTTTTAGTCGAATATTTTTCTTTGCACAAAAAAAGAAAAATATATCTGGTTTAAATAGTTACCTGGAGGTTGGCGTTTAACGCATCACCGTACATGGTTGGACTGTGGGTCAAGGTTGGACTCTTCGACGGGACACCCCTACATATCGAGAGAAAATATTTCATTAGTGATCATCGATGTTTGGCTAACGATAGTTTCCTGAAATTAAACGCGTGTGATAAGCTTTACGTTTTTTAAATTATCTTTTAGTTTGTGTCGATGTATACGGGTGGAATAAATTTTTGAGAATTAATGATTTCGGGTTGGGTTCGGGTGAGAGAGGAGGTGGGTAAAGATAGAGCTTATGTGTACAGTGTGTGCAGGTGTGATCGAGTTTTAATATGTAAAGGTATAATAGATAGAGAAAGAGAAATAGAGAGAAAGATAGAGATAGTGATGAAGTAGACAGATAGATAGATACAAAGAGATAGAAATATAATATGAAAAAATGTATACACGTATATAAGATTGAAAAAGTGATAAAAAAGATGAGAAAAAAAGAGTTCGAAAACTCTTACCTATTTACCAGTTCACGTTCCTCACTCGTCCAACTGATCGGCTCGGTTCAGATTGAGCGAGGTTAAGTTAAAAAAGTGTGTATATGTATGTAAATATAGAAAAAATTTGAAAAAAGCGCTCTCGTTTCGTGAATCATTTCCTCAGAATGTGAAAAGATACAATTTTTTTCCAATATTCATTTTTCGAAACGACGTCATTGCTTATAAACGGCTCTGAGGCTTACCTGTGCTTACCCCTTTTTTCGTTTTCCTCCGAAATTATTTACAAGGTTTATCGGTAGTGAATTCCGAGCGTAAGGTGTGCTCCTTTCAAAAGACAAGTGTCGAGAGAAAAGAGCACGTTTCTTCTCTTGCAAACAACGAAGCACAAGGGACGGGTCCAAACGATGTCTCGAAAAAAAAGGAGAATATCGCTTTTGTTTTTTGGAATCGAAACGGACGGGGAGACGTCGCGTACGGATTCTTTGCAAGAGACGATTGCTTGCATGCGAAGAGAAAAATTTAAGAGAAAAAAAGATGGATGCCTAGAGGCCGTTTATCAAGTGACTCAGAGCGCTGGGTAAAAAGAGAAATATAGAGAGAAGAGAGAGAAAGATAGAGGGACAGAAGAAGAGAGAAAGAGAGAGATATATATATAGAGTGTAAGAGAGTATAAAAAGTAGTAATAGAAAAATTGTTAAAAAACTTTTAAAAAAGATGATTAATCATAAAAGGTACAGAAAATTACCGGAAGTTGCAAAGTTAGTACGTAAACGGTGAGGTACCTTGAGTTAGAAGAGAGTGGTCGTAGCGATGAATGGAGAATTCCGTATCATCCGAGATTTTTGCAGTTTTGTGACGCTTAATTTACACAATTTACACATGCGCGAGTAGCCCTGACACGCAATATCAGTCACACGGAAAACCATTCTCACGTTGAAAAAGCGTACTAAAGGCGAACAGAAGAGAGAGAGAGAGAAAACGATGAACGCCGTAAAAATTGAGCGAAGAACGGAAAAAAGGAAAAATAACGGAACGCATAGTTCGATACGTCTTCTCTCGATTTAACACACTAAAGAAGAACGAATCAAAATAAAAATAAAGGAGAAAAAGAAAACAGAAAAGCTTTACTAGGACTGTCAAGAAAATCCAAATATTCAGATATTAAATATTTGGATTTCAATTTTAAATAGTTGAACTATTCGAATATTTCTAATACTCGATACGTTAAAATCTCTCATTTTTAAAAAAAGAATTCAACTATTCAAAGTTTCACAGTTCTGAGCATCACTTTCCTTCTACGAACTAGCATCAACTTATTTGCGCTTTCTAATTACTAATCTTAAGCTACACAGTTTGCCGCTTGTAACACCGAAACGAAAAATAAAAAAGATGAAAGGAACCCAAAAAAAAAAAAAAGAAATAACACGACAAACGCTTCGCTCGCGTGTCGCGAACGAGCAAAATCAAGAGAAAAATTATGTTTCTCTTTGAAAGTCAACTGGTAGAGCGGAACAGAGTTTGAAAAGAAAAGAGAAGAAGGCCAACGAAACGTTTGTCCACGCAAACACTTCCACATTCTTCCAAGACACTGCAAACGCCACTACGTAAGCACCATACAATTATAAGCACAGTGTTTTTCAGTGGTAGGGATAAGTCTTACGGGGGACAGTTTTCATATTTCGTTATTATTATTATTATTTTTTTTTTTCGTTGGTTGTTTCGTTTTTAATTCTTAGGGAACGAATATTATAGGATCCTTGATTATCCATGCGAGCAACCACTAAACACATCAGAGATCCTGCAGCACGGACCAATCGTCCTGTGGCTGGGCTCCTGCAGGATCGTCCAGGATTTAAGCTCTCTCGGGTGTGCTAGAGCCTCGGGCTACGGTACTAGTGAGACGTATACATGGGGATGTACTATGGGGGCTGTTTTGGACGTCACAAACAGAGGCGTGCAAGATTAACATTACACTGTTTAACTGCTGTATTAACCTGTTAATAATTAATTAACTCGTCGTTCGACTAAAAATCATATAAAGTTTTAACGATGCATTTACTGAAAGATTGTTCTCTTTAACACCTTGATTACTAGAGAGGACGCTAAGGGTTGGTGTCTCAAATGTATTGCATTAGAATAATTAATAAAAAGAAAAAATTAAAACAAATTTTTAAAATTAAATTCTAAAGGGTTGCAATTATTCTTATTACACATGTCTCGATTAACAGGTTAATAAGTTAGAGATTTATTGCGCGCCCCTGAGGACCAGGAAGAAGTTTGACGGATGCTACTTTGTTCTTGTTCGCAGGGAGACGGAATCTAAGGGTGTTCGAGGCAGGCACAATGCGGAATTCGTTTCCGGGGTTGGATAAACTGCTTAGAGCCACTCCCTGCTGCCTTGGAAGTCATTTCCCAACGAGTTACCACTCGACTACACCTTCTAACGTCTAATAAATATCTGATAAGTAGAATAGGTAATTTTGTGCCAGACAGAAATGAAGGAGAACATACATAGAGGAAAATGTATCATCGATAATGATAAAATAAGAACTGTTTCTGATCTGTGTAGATGAATAACAATAGAAAATATAAGAAAATATGTGTTCACACTATGATTTTGTTAATTCTTTTTTCTTTTCTTTTTTTTTTTGATTGAACGACAAAGGCAGCAGGTACGAGAGGGCGGTTTAGTGGTTCACTTTTGTAGACAACGACCAAGCAAAAATGTCCCGGTCGCCGTGTTACAAGAGATACCGCGGTAAGGTTTCAGAAACGTCGCGCCAGCCAGCCAGCAGAATTCTAAAAAGTGGTAGTGCTTACTGTGCGGAGAGGTGGGGTGGAGTGGGTGATGGGGTTGGGTCATATTTCCTGGGGCGGCCGCGGGACAGATGCCGCCGCTTTACGAACTCGGCGTCGTCCACCATCCAGAATGACCCGAAGTCGTCCTCATAGCGCACAAAACACTTGTGCAATGATAGATTGGTGCGGATCGCGTTCTGTATACACAGACAAGACCACCAAGAAATAGAGAAAAAGAGAGTAAAACAGATAAAGGTTGTTTTCTGCTTGTTGTTGTTGACTGCTGTTGGTAGTAGAATTCTTTCTTTCGATTTTCTTTTGTCTTTTCAGGTTTCGTTCGCTTTTCCTTTTTTTTTTTTTTTTTTTAATTTTCTATACAGCAATTCACACTTTCGTTTGTTTAGCTTTCTGCCAGAGCACTGAACCAGCATTGTTCTCCGTTCAGCCTTTATTATTTTTTTTTTTTTTCTGTCTTAAAGCGTCTAACAAACGTTGCCTTTTCTCGAGCGCCACCACTCGCTGCGAATGGTGATGCTCGAGTAGAGAATCATGCACTGTGATGAATGCTGACTTATGTTCACAGGAAATCGTGACGAGACGCGCGCTGCTGTCAACAGACCCATCCCCGTTATTTTTACAAAAGTCTCGTCCATCGTCAATCTCCCTAAGTTTCAGGAGTAATCCTGACGTTTCCAGAGAATTGTAACAAAGACAGCACAGACTCGCAAAGAAAAGGGTACAGAGAGAGAAAATAAAAAAGTCATAGACAAACGTAAAAGTATAGTATATATGTACGTAGTAAGGCGGTTCCTCTCACTACCTGACCAAGTGCAATTCAGCGTTTCTCACTTTGCACTGGCTGTATCCCGCATCCGGCTTCCGGGTATTCGAGACTAGACTCGGGCCCTGCCAAGTGATTCTCGATTGGTTAGTCGCTGCAAAGCTCACATGCTTGTTAAAAAAGAAATAAAAGCACACATCACGGTATCCTACGGTATTTCCGTCCACAACCCAGCGATTTCGACTCTCCCTCTCAATCATACTCGTCTGTTTAACTCGTCATCGTCGAATCTCAGCATTTTCTCGACACCCATTCGCGCCACGTTCGTTCATCAAACTTTGACGGCTACCATCGCACGCAAGTAACGGGCAAGTAAGAAAAATCACACTCACGCGGGATATGTCACAAACACCGAGCCAGCTTCCCGGGTACAATTCGAAAAAAGAAAGTAAAAACAATAGATTTCAACCCTTCGAATAACCAAAGGGTTCCATTGCCCAGAAGAATTGTTAATTTTGAAATAATTTCAAAGAATTATAGCTCGGGAAGCTTGGTATTAGGAAACGGACGTGAGTACAAACAAAGCGAGTTTACTATACAGATTAATATTGCGGACAGAGAGGTATATGAAAATCACAAATAAAAAGAATAGGAATAGTCTGTACACACGCGCGCACAAATCTACACGTACGAAATGAGCAAACATACACAGAGGGTCTAGATACGTATAAAAAAAAAAATAAAAAATAAAAAAATAATGGCAAAGGGCACGATGATGTAGGGCACCGAGAAACACATCGTACAGAAAGATGGATAATGCACAAGAAGAGCGTGCGTGTATGTGCGTATTGCATACATACATGAGGCTTGCATACACACACGCGTTACGCGCGCATACACATGTTAAACCTTAATCAGATATGTATATATATAAACATCTATGAAAAAAATACGTGAACAATGTATATATACATATATAGAAGAAGCTATATATAAAATGTATACGTATAAAAAGTTATAAGAAATATTAAACACTATTAAATATATACATATAAATATGAATAATATAATGTATATATATAAAAAGACGTATATTAATATATATATATAAAAGATAAAAAAGATTGTAAAAAATTTGCCAGTATAAATATGAAAGGGAATAGGGGTTAAAGGGGTACGAGTATGTAATTATAGAGTAAAAGCGATTAAGTGAAAGTATGTATATAAACACATATATATATATAAATATGTAAAAGACACATAGATAGAAAGAGAAGAAATATATAGAAAAATGTAATAAATAAACACAAGTAGGAATCTAGGTGAAGGGTTAAAGAAGTGAAGAAGGGAAGAAGCGACCGAGGCCGATTTTTAATTGTCGGATTTTGGTCTGACATTGGTCCGGGAGAATGATGATATAATAAATATCGAGAAAAAAGCAGAGAAAAAGATAGAATATATATAAATTTATATATATATATATAATCTATATATAAATAGAAAGAGTGAAATGTAGAATCTATAATAGACGGGATTAAAGAGTAAAAAAACGCGGCTGTAAAATTGTTATTTTGTCGGTGGGACGGGGGCAACGTACCCGGTCGTGCTGCAAGCGCGTTGAGGACGTCTCTTGTAAAACTCCACTTCGTCCACCGTCCATACGGCGCCTTTCACGTTTTCGACTCGCATGAAACATTTGTGGAGAGACAGGTTGTGTCGCACTGCGTTCTATACAAAATAATACACAGACTAAATAAGCAACGCAAAAAACGAACGAAGCCAACTCAATCGCGAGGCCGGCTGTCGATCGGGGACACGATTCGATGGAGTGTTTTACAGGCTCCTCGTCATCTTCCGACGCCGGATGACGATGACAACGATGATGAAGACGGCGGCGACGACGACGACGACGACGACGAAGACGATGATAAGAAATTGATGATGAGACGAAAGTGGATGATATTCTGTCTGATTTGGAGAATCGTCGAGGGTGAAGCAGGTTTCGAGCTTTCATATCTTCTTCTTTATTTTTATTTAGAAATATCTGAAGACTTTAATTAGAGAACTGCTGCCTTAATAATTTAACTAATTGCCTAACTAATTTATTTTAAGAATGCGTGTCATCGTTGCAATTTGCATTCCTACAACATGCACTTTGCATTGAAATCTCTGTCAACGAAAGGCAGCGGCTCTGCTTGACGATTCGATCGAAACGGAAGAAGAAAACTCGAAACACACTGACAAAGAGTGAATTAATAGTAGTAGTAGATGGTGTGAGAGCAGCAAAAGGATACCCGGCGATGGTCGCGTAAAAATGACAAGGCCGCAAGAGGACAATAACGAACCAAAACGATTAATTCGAAAGAATACACGGTATGTGGCATTCCTTTAATCGTTAATGCACAGCTAGTCATCTAAATCTAGGGGCAACGACAACAATTATACATGCCGCAGGGCCGTACAAAATTCCAAAAGAACAGGAACAAAATCAAAATCAAAATTTAAAAAAAAAGAAGAAAAAAATAGAAAAAAAGAAAGATTCAGGAAGATTGTATTATACGCGGAGTCGTTTCGTGGATCACGATCTCCATCCAAGTGGTAAACCTCGTCCTCTCCCTGGTGTCTGGCTGCTTTTCCCTTGAATCATCCTTGTTTGTTGAACCTGTGTTGTTGCTTGAAAATCTTTCAGATACACATAAACCATGCGAGGCGAAGCGTCATGGCAAACGTCGATTACTTTCACGCTTTACTCGCACACACACACGCAGAGAAAACACACGCGTCGCACTCTTGCCAACAAGCGGATCTTTTAAGTCGCATCACGACTCGAATCACGGAAAAAGAAAAAATGATAGAAATGAAAAATTTACTCGAATATCGAGCAAACGTTGGCTAAGAAACACGAGTCGTAATGCGACACAATATTTCACATGTTACCAAGTTTCATCCCCCCCCCCGCCCCGTTTCCCCGTTTCTTTATTCGGGGAAGCAACACAATTATCATTTACCAGCTCGTCTGCTCGGCGCATCACTTTAGCCTGTTAATTCAAATTAATACGTAAGATTATCCGAGATTCTTGAAAGCTCATCCTTTCTAGTTAAAACGCATTCAGCTTAATCTGCTCGTAAATGCAAATTGCACGACCAAGTCATCTCGTCTTTGTGACTTGCAATCAAACGTTGCATAACTCGAAACCGCGCTCTGAGTTCATCCAATTTAGAGGCGAGAAATTATTTTCGACTTCCTAGATGATGCACGATCACGATGACGAATTTTACTAATACGGAAAACTACCCAAGTGTTACACTCACTTATTAATGAAACTTTGCCAGCTTGTAGAACACGCCTATACCCCGTTTTGTGGGCAGACGGCTAATTGTTTAAAAGATATTAACAATTGCAGTTAGTTACTTCTTACATTCTGAAGTATGACAAACTCGCACATACAACTCGCAATCTAGAGATCCACGGTTCAAATCCTTGGTTCCCAACAGTTTTACTTTTTTTTAATGATAATTTGTCTCTTTTTGAATAACTATTACATAAAAATTATCATAACAAAAAAAAAAAAATTTTTGAGAACCAAGGATTTGAACCTAGGACCTTTAGATTGCGAGTCATGTGTTTAACCACGGAGCGGATCCATGACTCGCAATCTGAAGGTCCTCGGTTCAAATCCTTGGATCCCAAAAAAATTTTTTTTTTTTTATGATAATTTTTATGTAATAGTTATTCAAAAAGAGACAAATTATCATTAAAAAAAAATAAAAATGTTGGGAACCAAGGATTTGAACCGTGGATCTCTAAATTGCGAGTTGTATGTGCGAGTTTGTCATACTTCAGAATGTAAGGAGTAACTAACTGTAATTGTTAATATCTTTTAAATAATTAGCCGTCTGCCCCCGTCTGGGGTATAGGCGTCTTCAGCTCGACGAGCTCTACAAGCTGGTAAAGTTTCATTAATAAGTGAGTGTAACACTTGGGTAGTTCCCCTTGTAAGACGTGATTCCGGAAAAATTTCAATTTTCAATGGAGGATTAGAAAAAATAAATAAATGAAGACGCGTTTAAAAACGAACAAAGTACAAGCTAGAACACTGTTGTTCTATTTTCATCACCTCTAACGTTTTGTATCTTTACTGAAAGTGAAGTGATATACCTTCCACGTTGCTGCGTTGCGCCGGAAGTAGCAGAATGTGTTCTGGAACCAATTGTAGATCTCGTTCAGCGTCAGCTGCTTCTCCGGTGACTCGATGATGGACTGTGAAACAGAAACGAGAGAAAAACGAAAGAACGAATGTTATCAAAATAAATCCTAGCCCGATTCACTATCCACGAGAAACGGTGCAAAATTACCCTCACCCATTTTCCTAGGATTAGTTCCGTCAAGATTAAATTTCGATTAAATGCGACGCTCTTATCGGACAATTCATTCTAAATTAAATTATTCGGAACGCTAGATGTCTACGTATCGAATGAATCACTCACCTGTCGAATTAAGGATGCATATGTGAACGGCGGCCTGACGTCGGCGTTCTTGTAAAATTCCCTATTTCGTTGAATTTCTGAAATACCAAGAAGCCACGTTTTGTTTCTTTCCCAAAGTAACAGCTCGTGATAGGGGGATACTTTTATATTCGTTGTGACACCATCTCTTCGCGCGTTTCAAATTGTCTGCGGGGATTTGTACAACAAACAAGCAATGAAGCCCCATTTATTTAGAGATGGTTCGATTCGCGGAAGAAAAAATTAAAGAAAAACTGTTATCAAAATAATTTACAAATTCATAATAAACGAACGTCTCGCGTTAATAGGTATAATAATTGATAGAAAAATGATGTCTTTGAGGATCGCATGCTTATGAAACAAATTACCAAGAACATTCTTAAAACTAGATGAAAGAATAAGCGAAAAGCGATCTGGAGGGGATCGGTTGGGGAAAGAAAGAAGCGGGCACTCGGTTTCAGCTTGTTCATCCCTTGTCATAATGATCGTACGGATGACGGAAGTATCTGAAACGCTGTTTTACGGGGTTGGAGAACGTAGACAGGGTGAAAGAGGTATTCCAGCATGCAAGAGTGCACCCTTTAAGAAAATCCTTAAAGCCACCAAAGGAGCGTGGAAAGAAGGTTGACAGTACCTTGTTGGACGTCAAGGCCAGCACGCTCCAGCATGTAGGGCAGCCCTACACGGTGGGGAGGGCGGGCAGCACAAGAAATAAGGAAACAACAGAAGTATTGGTAAGAAAGAGGTTCGAACTGGTGTAATATATAATTTTTCTTTTTTTTTCTTAAAACAAATTCATTTTTCTTTCTTTCGTTCGTCTCTTTTCTTTACTACTGTCTATTACTTTATACCTTTCTTCACACCTGTTTAACCGTCCTACGTCGCCAACAAGGTGTCGAACACTGTAGCTCACGTGACATTGTTGCTACCGTGAATAAATCTGTGCGTGTGGTAGAGTTTACGATAGGAAAAAAAAAGGCACGAGATCAAGAGAGGACCGTAAAGAGCATTTGCTACAGGATTTTCTTTTAGCCGGGCCTTAATCGACGAGAACGAACCGCGAAATGCTCTTATGAAATACTCTCAGCATAAATTCACTATATTCCGTGAAATTATGTCTACGTAAATTAAAAAGAATCTTCAAGATAAACGTTACGAGGAAAATAGCATTTCACGGATCGCGCGTCCACCCGACTGTAATTTTGATTAATCGTTACCTTCGTTAATATCTATTCCAGATCTATCGACGGCTACTCTGCGCCTTACAGTGCCCTCGTCATACAGTCCTACGAATAGTATTCAATTTCTAAATTCACATGTCTTTCGTTTCACCTTCCTCGAGACGACACAACATTAATCCACTTCATTTTTACCGAACCATTCTTACCCGTTATCTCATTCTAATCGTATAGAAGGGTTGGAAAAATAGTCACCGAATGCAGCATTTGATTAAATATATAAACAAATTTTAACACGTTCGCTATCATCGTCGAAACGTCAACAATTTGATGCTTCGTCAAATGAATCCTTCGTTGACTAACGACAGCGAACGTGTTAAATCATCTTTCTAATATTTCCCATGATGCAGGTAAAACGGAAGAACCATCAACAATGTCAAAGACGAAAGCCTTTAAACCCGAACAGATTATTCTGAATATTCCTGATTGATCTTTCACACGTTATCTGATTATATCGATGGTCAAAAGGAAAAAGGAAACCTTACCTCCTGCCAGTGATAACGCGGATTTGTCGCTGATACGTCGCCTGATGGGCCCCGGCATGCTGGGCATGGTCGGCATCGTGGGCATGCTGCCCGGCATGGTCGGAAGCGGAGGCATTCCAGACATGTTCGACATGTTAGGAATGGGTGGCATGGGTGCTCCACTGGATGGTTGTAGCTGTCCACCTGCTGGCGACCTCACAGCCGAGACCAGGGCGGATATCGAGACGGGAGACACTTGGGAGACGCCGAAGTTTGGCGGTGGTTGGCTCATCAGGGCGGTGGAGAGATTTAACTTTGGTATACTAGAGCCCGTCTGAAAGAAGCGACGCGATGTTTGGGCGAAACGCCTTTGGGCATTACATACACGGTACCGAGACCGTCGACCTTCTTTTTCTTGTGCAAACTTTGCAGACCAGTTTGCGAAATTCCTCATGTCTTTTTTTTCTTTTTCGAACGTGTGCGGTCGGCTGTTTAGGATTGTTTGCACGTTTCCCGAGTACCGTTTGAGGTTCGAATGAATTCTATCAAGTCGTTGCATATCAATTGGCTGGTTTCGAAATGTAAAAAAGATCAACAGGATTCGATGACACAAGAATATAGTAAATTTTTAATTAACGAACAAACGACGAAGGAACATCCGACGCGTATATTTCATTGAAACGTTCCCGATTATCAGAGCTGATCCGAGCTTCGCGAGAGGACTCCTCCCTTTCGCGTTAAAATAATTAAGTCGGCCCGAGAGGACGAGCCACGCAGTCGCCCGGACGGCTAATGCGATATTGGTATTCTCCGACTGTCGGACTTGTTAGAGGTTTTAATTAAGGCGATATAAAATCAACGAGGACCCGATGAATTATTAATGAAAACTTTATGTATAAATTAGCGAGTCTACTCGGCGGCGCGTTAAAACTGAAACTGGCATTGTTGTTAGCCACGGCGGGCACTCGTAAAATTCACCGACGTCGTGAAAATCCGACTTTACGACTCTACGCTCGGCTCGTACCAGAAGAGTTTACATCGGGAACAGGATCGTTAGGATCGTTTTTCCGGATTCCCGCCCAGGACGATGCTCACTCGACGACAAACCGCGCGACACGTGTCTCATCGAACTATTATTGTCTACTATATTTCGCGCATGGCGACGTGCCATGATCTTACAGCGACGCATTGTTTTTCGCGAAATTGCTTCCGCGACGAGGAATTTCTATTTACATCCCTCGAGTGTTGATAATTGCGGCAAACTTACCGATGACTCGGACGACTTTGGCGGTTCAGGGGAAGCCATTTGTTTCGCCACGTGCAGATGATGCATCATGGCGGTCAATCGGTCCCGTTCCTTCTGCAACTGAATCTCCAACTGCGACACAACTTGCATCTGAACTCTGGCCTGCGCCGTCGATCGGTCATCCAGCGTGTGTTCCGTGTTTAAATGTCTGAAACGAACGTTTAAATCGCTCCTGCTGTTAGTCAACGGCGGGAAAAGGAAAAATTACGCAAGAACAACCCTCGTCCAGCGAATCCCTCTGATCCCAAGATACTAACGAAATTATGTCGCGAACAATGCCGGGTCGTTTACGAGGAAATCAAAGCTGCACCGCGTCACAAAGAATAAAACGTTTCTCTCTTTCTACCCCTCCCTGTATCACCAAGGTGAATCTTACCCCAGCTACGGGACAGGAAAAGAATCGAGTTCCAACGGGGTGGTGGGTTTCAAGCAGGAGAGGGTGTGCCAACGAGATTCCGTATTTAAGAATTTCCGTAATCCTTCTTCGTCGCCGTTGCTGTATCGCTGAGGGTGAAAGAGGGTGAAGAAAGCAAAAAGGAGGGAGAAGGTTGGTTAAGACCAAGAAGGTCTTGCGGAAGGAAGGTGGGTGGAGGTGCACAGGGGACAAGGGAAAGGGATTAGACCGAGAGGCATAACGATGCGGTCGAATGTCGTGAATATTAATGAGACAAAGGTAATTAGCGTTTTCCTTTTTTCTCCCTCTCTCTCTCTCTCTCTCGTTTTTTAAGTAACGGCTTGTTTGAGGGAGTTTGCGGCGACGAGCCGCGTGATTACTAGGGATTGCCAAGCAAAAGGGGGCCCCGTGTCTGGACTTCTGGTTTGAAACCGATGGTGAAGGTGCCGGATGTCAATGAGATACGCCGACTTCAGCGATTTTTCTACACTTCCTTCCACCCTCCCCAACCGTGATGCCTTCTAACCCATTCCATGCCACGAAATTGTCGACTTTATTCTTCTCCTTTCTTCTCTTTCCCTTATTTCCCGACCACAAATCTACCCCGACGGATTTACCTACTTTCCAAGAGCGCAAGTACTTCCCAACACCAAGTTATCTATGATTCTGATTTAAAATTTGGGATTCGATGGTCGAGTTCTTAATAAACTTAATAAAAATAAAATGTTTGAAACTTACTTAAGGAATGCTTGATAGTCTTCACAAATAACTTCACAGCCTGGCCACTTGCAGACCCCATGACCGTAGAGGGGATGTGCCTTGTCGTTAGAGGAAACGTCCAACGGTTTCTCGTCCAGCGGAGTAGTTCCGTTCATCTCCGACCGCCGACTCGACACTGTCGAATTCAGAAGTCCTGCGATAGTCCGGAAACGAACGTCGCATTCGCAAAATAAAAGGGAACGGAATACAGAGAAATTGGGAGGGCAGAGGGTAGCTCAACTTGGTCTGACAGGGAGGAGAATTTCAATGTTTACCGTTGAGTCCAGCCCCAGATTTTGGAACGTTCGAGTTCTGGTGGGATTCAGGACCATCCGGTGTCTCCGATTTCCACATTGGTAGACCTTCACCCGGTTGCAGACCTGTTTAACATTTTTCATTAATAGAATAAACCACTTTTATTCATTATTCTCGTGCAAGGGTTAAATAATATTGAATTTAAGCTTTGCAACTTTTAAAAGGTCAACCAGTTTAAAAGATCTCCGTAAGGATCGTGATTGTTAATCATCTGTCTGTTGATCTTATAAATACATCACTGTGTAAATTTAACGCTACACCATGTGACAACAACGTTAAATTACGTAGCGACCGTTGACAAGGAGGTACGTAATTAATTTACCAGTAAAAAGTGGACTGAACACGAGAGGTACAAAGAAGGGGGATGCAAACAGCACACGCGTAGGGATGATAAACGAAAGAAAAAGGGAGATCAAACAGAGGATAAAGTGTGCGAGAAAAAAAAGGAAGAACCGAGGGAAGAACGACGGGCAAGTTTGTTTCACACGTGAATTTCCGAATCCAAAGTACCGTGAGCGTACGTCAACGAGACCCTGCCGCTTTCCTGGCCCTGCCCTATTATTCCACCCTTCCTCTTTTCTCCGTGTACGCCGCGTCAGAAAGAAAAACATCACCGGAACGAGAGCGGACGCAACCGAAACACTTCTACGCGGAAAGTTTCGCCCAGGGTGAAGTGGAAAATGAGAAAGTGCAGGGGTAGATTACTCGAGACAAGAGAAACAGAGACCGAACGAAAATGGGTAGCCGGGGGTTGGGCGGTTGGATTGTTGTTTAAATCAGAGGGGTGGGTTACCACGAAAATTACGCGTTGTTCACACTTTCAATAAAAAGAAAAGCAAGGAGACAAAATAAAAATCTTCCTTCAGAAACAGCTGATCATACCCGAAGAAGGATTGTGCCCCTGAAGACCCAGCCCCTGCTGAAGAAGGTACTGGCTCTGCGTGATCTGAAGTTGCTGGATCAATTGTTGCTGCTGAAGCGCCAGTTGCTGAAGAGGAGCGGAAGCTTTCTTCTTGTCGGCCGTTTGCAACAAATGCGTCTGCTGGATCACGTTCAGCTGTAACTGTTCCTGCAGTTGCTGTATCATTCGCTCCAGCTTCTTCCTGCCCAGTTCCGCGAACTGATGTTGGTGCTGAAAATATTTTATCAAGCATTGTAAAGAGAACGAACCGAATTCCTGCGGAAGAAATTGAAGAAAAAGAAGGTACGAGGGGCGAGCTGCATCTTGTAGCCGTTGTATAAATCGCAGACACAGATAATTCCAGGGGGAGGAACGCGAATAAGACAGAGGGCAGTTGATGGGTACCCCGAAGACAAACAACGAGACACAACGCGGCTGATGGCGATGCTTAATTGCTTACCTCATCCTCGAGGCAATTCCGCGGCCATCCCCGTCTTCTCTAACCCTCGAGGATATTTTAAAACAAACTCTCAGATAGACGCCACCCTTTATCAAGTTACGCTAGTAGCAAGAAACGCACGATTAATGAGCTACGATACAGCTACGCTTAATGAGCTTGTTTCTCGTGGAAAGAATTTATCAGCGATCAAGGAACATTAGGTATCTCGGTAATTAGGACTTTTAGCACGAGTTCGGGATAATCGATTACGAGTGAACTGTCTAAATTTGTCGAGCGAAGGATACACGATCGAGCGGTGTCGCTAAATAAATATTTGATGCCTCCATCGGAGCTGTATTGAGCCTGCGTGTCTCCAATACCTATTTGCACTGAAACGTCCTTTCAGCTGTTTAGAGAAAGGAACAAAAAGAGCTTTTACAGCTAAATCGTGTACGATCCGAGTGCAAATGATTAAAAGTTTTTTATATGCTAAAAATAATTTGAATAATGGAATAGCGCGCACGTAATATCCAGCGTGATATAGAGAGCAGGAGTCCTGTTCGCAGAGCATCGAAATTCCCGGTTCGCCGTTTGGATGCTCGAGTTCTAAGAGGCTTTGAAAATCAGCGATATTCCGTGAAAATTTCCCGATAATGGAAAAGTTGCACAGCACGGAATTTGATCATTTCGTGGCGGAACATCGCGACGGTAATGAAATAGTTTGAAACAGTTTCAGAAGGACGGAACGAACAGGAAACGTAACAGTAGAGCGGAGGACTCTTTCGGTTCCTGTTATCGTCGAAAGGATGCTCGAATGTTTGTACAAGTTCGCGAGAGGACGAGAAAGCGAGGAAGAAGAAGAATGTACTCCATCGAACAGACGCTTTTTATAATTAAAATTATCAAATGGTAGACGGGAGGGTGATAAAAGGCGGTCTGTTTACCTCGCAGAGTATCTGAAAGATGTTTAACTATGCCAAGATGCAATGCTTGCTCGATAAAATGGACAAACTTTGCTAATGTACCCTGAAGAGGAACGGAGCACAATAAAGCCGAAAGAATGAGCAACGAAACCCGAGATTCTTCTACTATTCTCATCACAGCTACCACAATGAAATTCCAAAGAATGGAATACTTACGTCCTTCAGGGAGGAAAAGTAGCCGAATCGTTCCTGATTCGACGCATGCTCCGACGTGGTATCCTGCAAGAATCAGTTCCATGTCAATGGCATCAAACGTTTCAATTTTAATTATAAGAGTTAATTATGGAAATTTATTTTACTATAATTTGAATCCCAATTACCAAGAGGTTAGTAAACTACTAAACCTAATTAACACGTTCCCTCCCACACGATTTGAAGATATCAAAGGATAAAGATCCGATCACACGATATCGTGTGCGTGATTGTCAACTCTTTAATAGCAAAAATATAGCATGACATGAGCAGGAAATTGAAAATGTACCAAAAACGATACACATGGTAGGGTACGTGTTAATAGAATTCAGTAGTATAACACTATGATAAAGCATCCCTATTTTAATTCAGGCCTTCTTCAACTTAAAATAAAATAGCAAAAACATAGTGTAACATGAACAGGAAGTACAGAGTGTACCAAAAATTGTACACATGGCAGGGTACGTGTTAATAAAATTCAGTAGTATAACACTATGATAAAGTAGCCCTACTTTAACCTAGGCCTTCTATCACTTACTTTAGTAATTATTTATCTATACCAGGTGAAAATTCATTAGTCTAATTATATTACAATGCTAATATAAGAATACCTGATGATGCTGTTGCTGTTGTTGCTGCAAGTAAAGCGTGTGTTGCTGCATGAACGACTGCAGCTGGGTGGGGCTGAGTATGTGCTGTTGCAACAATTGTTGCATCTGATGAATGCCGCTAGCCGGGCTGAGCATCATCTGCGAGGGATTCTGAGAGGGTGGTGCCCCTGGCGGCCCTCCGGGCGGAGGACCCTGCGAAGGATTCGGCGGAGAAGCCCTCTGTGGGGCTTGTGGACTTTGATGGGGGCTCGGTTGGGGACCTGGCGCCCCGGAACTGGGCTGTTGCGATTGTTGCGTGATGATAGGTTGCTTTTGCTGGGTCATGGGTGCTGTTGTCACTGCGTGCCCAGCGGGACTGAGCTTTCCATTGCTCTGGTACTCGATCGTGAGGTCTTGTTGCTGCTGCTGCTGCTGTTGTTGTTGCTGTTGTTCTGTTACGCCGCCACTTAACTCGTTACTCCTGGTGTTCTCACGGTTACGAACCGACAGTCGATCTCGATCTCGTTCTCGATTATCGCGATCCCTCGACGAGGGAACACTGTCGCGAGCTTGTTGTTGCTGCTGCTTCAGGGCTGCAAACAGCGAAGTAGCCTGCAATAGGAAAATGAAGATCGAGAGCTCGATCAAAGTCGGTTGCGAGCTGTCTCGAGGATAGTTTGACAAATTAAATTATTATATAACCCCTCTAGTCGGTTCGTTTATTACCGGCTTGAGGAGTTAACTATGAATATTATATATATATTGTCCTTTTGGAGATTAAAAATTCGTCGAAAGAAGTTAGAAAGTTTGAACGCGAGCTGGAACGGTAAAATCGATTCGAAAGCGCGGAACCTCAAGCGATCTTACTTAATAAGAGGAGAAAGGAGTTTCTGTTTTGGCGACACCAGAGCTTGTACAAAGTCAAACGCGAGATAACAAAGAGGGTTACAAAGACGAGGTAGAGGCGCGCGAGGGATGAAGAAGGAGTACGAGAACGAAAAGAGGGAAGAAGAAGCCCCCGAGGCGGAATATTCATGATATAAATGCCGTGTAATGTGCGCGCGTTAAACTTCCAGCGTGTTTTGAGCAATATTGATCTTATCTAATGGTATTCGAGCTCGAGATCGTTGGCTGGCTCGAATCTCGGTTCTCCTTGGAACAACCGAGGAAAACTCGCTGTTGTCTGAATTACGTCGACTCGAGTCTCTCTTACTTCGTTGTTTACGCAGCGGGATTTGTTTTATTAAGTTCTATCATCGAGTAGATTGCGGAGCGTAAAGGCGGAACACCGTGTAACCGGTTCTTCCTGCTTCCTTCCAGCTTATCCTCTTTCAACCAACTTTCAAGACTAACAACTTTTGCTTTTGATTCCCCGTCGAATTTCGAAATAATCTCTTCGCAACCGCGACATCTTTAATTTCTAAATTATCCCCAATTCCTCGAAAAACCGCGTCGCGGTCGAAGATCAGCCTTTCTGGACCGCACATGTTCGAGTTTCGTCGAACCGCGGATAGAGACTCGTCAGAGATAAATTTAAAACGGATTCCACGCTCCGGGCTTCTCTTTCATCTCTCCTCTATCGTGCACCAGGCGTTCGTTCAGTTCCGCGCGGAAAGTCGCGATTGTTTCTCGGCTCGGAAAATCCGCATGGCACTTGGCGAATCGAGCGGCCGCCAAGTCCTATGCTAATCTTATTTGTGTACGATTACGTATGTTTATAGCATGCAAAGAAAGTCCCCGTAGGCGAGCGTTATCAGTGTTTAGTCAGGAGCACTGGTGCGCCTGCCGTTTCGTCTCCGAAGTTCGAAGCGTACCGAGGCGAAAAGAAAAAGCGCCTCGTGGAAAAACAGACCAGACAGTTCTCCGCGGGACTGATTCTTTCCGCAAGAATCGTCTTGAAAAAGGAACATTTTGCATTAATCTGAAAAACTTTGTATCTACACAGTTTCGGGTAATTACAATCACCTTTTCCTTGATTGAATCCTGTCAATTAAGGAAAGGGTTAAAAAGGAAGCATTACAGCTGGTCTCCAGCGAGCGCCTTGGAAGAGAGAGAGAAAAAAAACAATAAGAAACGATCCAAAAAGACACGGCCAAGCGACAGGAGCGTTTACTCAACGAAATTAATGGAAAGCAACGATCGGCAGGAGGTTTTAATCCACTTTAGCCAGACGCACGGTGCCGGTTAGATCGCGATCCTTTAATTCGCTAATTAATACCGAGTCCGTCTGTTCGGTCCGCGTCCCTCTTCCTCCCTCCGTCTCACCTCCACCCTATACTTTCCGTTCGTAACGAAGAAACGAAGAATCTTGAACGTCCATGAAACCGTCGTCGTGTCAGCGGTGAAAGGGCTGGAAAATCGCGGACGAACGTGAAGGGTGGTTGAACCGCGGAACGGGGGGGGGGGGGGGGGGGGGGTGTATCCAAGGGGTGTAGGTAGGGGTCCGAGAGGGTAACGACGATGAAGCTCGACGTGTGTACACGACCGGGCCAAAGGAAAAAAATATAAGGGTACGGAAAGAATGAAAGTATAAGAGCTGACGTTGAAGGGCCATCGACTACAGATAAGAGGGACTCCTAAGACTCTTTTAAGAAAAGGTTAAATAAAGGTCGGGGAGCCGCGCTTGTTGTTGGCTGTTCAGATTCCTTCGACCCCTTTACCTCCCCGCCCCACCCCTCCGTGGGTCCCGGTAACGCCACTTATTTGAATCCCGAAGGCTCCTTCGAGTTCAGCCCCCGTTCTACGTGCTCGTCTCGTCTCGTCTGGTCTTCATATCTTTTATATATTAGAATTTTCACCAACCATCCAGAACCGTCACGGCTTTCCAACGTCTCTCTTTCTCTCTGTTTACTGTTTGGATTTATTCCAGCCATCCAGTGGCCCCCTTCAGCGACCGCCAGCTTCCAACGAAACTACTGTACGTTCGGTTGTGTGTAGAGCAGCTTCCGCTCGTCTTTATATTAATCAGAGCGCTGTCATTTTACGGTTACATGAAACGGAGAAGATTCTTTGATTCCATCATTTGTTCTAAAAGTCTATCTATGATTGTATTCCGATTACGTGTGTATCTATGATTAATAAATTATATTTTTAAAAAATGATAAAAATTTTCTCCGTGTCCCTGATACTTTTAAAAATTCTCTCAATGGATCCCCAAGTCTTCCGCTTCATCTGTTTCGCCGTGAAACGACACAGCATCTCCCATAGCGATATGAGTCAGCGAAGATTTCGTCTGAAACGTTGATGGCTCGGTCGAGCCCCATTTGGACATGGAGAATCGGCATCGAGTGGTCCACGGTGGCAACGTTGTTTATTTTCATCGTCGAATCGAAAGTGTCTCGGCGAGAATAGCATCGGGAAACGTAACGGCGGTCCGAGTTTCGCGAAGAATAATTTGTTTTCGCGACGAAACTGTCCGGAGAAAGTGACTTGGATCGAGAGAGGCGAACGGTGTTGCTGTGGGACCAGTGAAATTCGATCGGTAATCCGTGTTGCTTCTCTCGAAACCGATAAAAGTATCGCAACGGTGTCGCGAATGTTTGTTCAGCGTCGTTTTATACGCGCTGACCAAACTGTACGCACAGAGAGAGAGAGAAAGAGGCACGGAACGTGTCGCACTTGAAAGCAGGACAAAAAAAATACAAAAAAGGAATCGTCCACGGGGGAAAAATTCGGTGATCTCCACTGTCGATCCGTTTATTCGACAAATCCGAACCGGATTTAACTTCTGGCTTTTCTTTGCATTCCATATTGAACGTCCCTTTTCGGATCTGTTAACCGTGATAGGTATTTTCATAGCCGTCTGCACGCCATAGCGGGAATATTCTATTATGTGTGTATTAATTAAAATTCCCGCTCCGGTCTCTGTGCGGTCGGAGAGAACGATAGCTCCGATTGATTTTTAACATCGTAACAACGATGTTCCAAGCGTCCATCGAATTCCATCACGGATGTTGCCCAATAAAATGGTGACCAATAAAACCCAAATTCCACGTGATTTTACCTTTCTATTTCCATTTTCTAGATCACAGTTAATCGTTTAAAAAGCAACAATATATATTAACCCAGGAAATCACAGCTGAAAATTATTATACAAATATTTCATAAGAGCAAGGAGAATTTCTGTAGATTGTAAGAAAAGTGGATTGAAAGGGGTGGATTCACCCTTGCCTACCTTCTTATCTGAACGATCGTCGCGAAAGACTGCGTTGAATTTTCCAAACGTGTCTGAACTTCGTAACGATGTAACGATATAGAAGTAATAGTGGACCAAGACCGTGACTTGTCTTTCAGCCGTTAATCAGCGCCGAAAGAGGCCCGGTAGTTTCCCTAATTCCGAATTATTCCCGAATTCATAGGGACAGCCGAGCGCGCGACGAGTGCTGCGAAACGGACGTGGAAAGGGGACTTTTCCGAGTAATTTGTATTCCACATTTCACATGGAACGACGAGGGGTGACGAGTGCCTCCTTCTCGCGTACCATTCCTCCTCCCTCTCAACGTTTCTCTCTCTCTCTCTCTATTTATCCCGTGTTCTCTCCGGTGTGTTCACACGAGTGCGACCGTTCTCGTGGAGAGACTTACAGTCGCGCGTATATAAACGTCGACCAGGGAGTAACGTCTGATTATGCGAACGCATGGCTGGCCGTAACGCGATTTAATATTAAAATATTATGACAAACGTCAACAGGAGGCGGGTGTAAAGAGACGCGTCTCTGATTGGCCCTCGACGTGAATACGAAACGAGAGAAGTCGAGAGGGGGGTAACACCTTGCCAACCCCTTGTTTTGTACCCCAACTGTTACATTTTCGTTGCTCTTGGAATTCACGCTTGGAAACGAATTTATTTTTCAAAGATAATTCTAATAAAATTTATAGAATATAATACATAATTGAACGCGTTTAGTCAGAAGCGGAAGGGAAAGAGTTAACAATGAAAATTTTTGAGACATTACTAGGAGACTGGAAATCCATGAGGGAGGAACACGTGGACTGTATCTAAAACGATCTAACTACTTGACGTCGCGTTCGAAAAGGATCCTGCAATATTGAGAGGAATTAACGATTCCGAGAACGTCTGTTCTGCCGGACGAGCCAGTCGACCGACTAGGAAGAGGACCATAGAAAAGAGAAAAGGGTGAGCAGGCTGGTAGGGGGTGGTAGGTTTCCTGGGACGACTCGGTAGCCAGCTGGATATTTGGAAAATGGCTAGAACCAAGCGGACGGAATGTCTCTGGGCTTCCATCGTTAACGGCCTGTGTACATTATAGATGGTCCCGTGATTGGTTCGTCAGCCTCTCAAAAACTCTCGTCGACGGCGACGTTCTTCTCTTTTCGCTCGACGCGACGTGTTGTTACCTGGCCGGCTCGTTCTCGTTTCGCAGGGTTCATTTTACCTCGTTGCGACTAGTCACCCCTACCACCCTCTCTCTCTTTCTCTCTCTCGACCAATTGACAATGTACAGAGGCTGCCTTTCATGGGTATCAATTAGTAGAATTCTCGCTGCTGATGCCCGCACGATCTCAGCCTCCGTTCGTATCGTTTTCAATCCTCGGGGCGTGTCGATTGAATTAACCGATCATCGTGTAAATGGAGACTGTCTATTCTGCCTG